AGAAAGTAAATGTAATAAAGTTCCCACCTATACTATTTAATTAATAGCCAGATTCTTTTAAAACAAGTCATCAAAGTGCTACGTGTTCATAGTTTGAGATCTGTGGTGCAGTTAGGATGAAAAGCGGTGTCTCCCAGCCCCGCTGCCCTCCCCATCTCTTTAAACCACAGGCCACTCCGGCGTGAAGTTCAGTATGTCCTCTAGAGAAAGAAGAAAAGAGGGGCTAGACTCAGAAATACTCTGAAATTCATTCCTTGCCTAATTTGGGGGGAGAGGGCTGAATGGCAAGGTCTTTTTCTGAGACCAATTTCAGATTATACGGACAATGTGCAAACTGCCGTCTGACCCAGGCAGGCCCACGCTGAGCTCTGGGGCTCCAGGGACCCAAGGCTTTTCAGTGTCCCTGGGGGACCGCAGAGGCCATTGCAGACCCTCTCCACAGCCCATGTGGGGCTTATCCATGCACAATATAGCAGGAAAGGCCTGGGAGTCCTGGCTACGCATATCTGAGTTCCAACCCTCTCTGAGCCTCAGTTTCCTTCTTTGTAAAAGGAAGTAATGGCAGCGTCCACATCCTAGGGTGGCTGCAAGGTCCATATGGGGTAATGCAATTTCTAGGCGGAGGCATAAACACCTGGCACACAGGAGCACACATTATGTTAGCATTTTTTACTTCTGCAGCTTACTGAAGCAAACGTGTCCTGTGGTTCTGTCAGACAAGCCTGTCTGCCCCGACCCCGCCCCACCCATAGTTCCAGCCCAGGAGGAAGGTCAGCACCCACCCAACAGAGATCTGTCAGAGTTGAAGAGTCTGTTTTCCCAGTTCTTCTTCACCAAATCTCTGGGGCAGATATCTGAGTTCACCTCTCCAGCCCCAGGGCCTACACCAAGTCTTGGGAGAGGTTTGCACAGGAGCAAAAATCCTCTGCAGAAAGATAGTGAATCAACAGAGCCACACCTGCATCCTCACAGGAGCCCAGGGGCCCCTGTCCCCACAGACAAGCACTGCAGTCCCTACACGCTGCCTTCAAAACCGCATGGCCTGGGCAATGGGGCCGGTGGCCAGCCAAGCCCTCCGCTGCGCCCTTCTCCACGGAGTCTCCTGCAAGAGGCTCGAACCAGAGGGTCTGTCACTGAACTGATCTCAGAGTACTTGGGCTCAGAGGAAAGAACATAGACTTTGCTGGCTGGAAGGAACCCTAAGGGTTCATCCAGTCTCTGAATTCAGCTCACTCCAGAAACAACAGCTCTACCCACTGAGCTGCATTTCTCAAACTTTAATGTACACGAGTCACCCAGGGACCTTGTAATGCTGTTTCTGATTCAGAAGGTCTGGGGGGCAAGGGTAGGGCTGAGATTCTGCATTTCTAACAAGCTCCCAGGAGATAGATGCCAAGGCTGCTGGTTCCACCAACGTGCCCGAAGCAGGAAGGTTCTAGAGGGCTTGTTGCCCTCTGCAGCCCCTGCCTTAATAGGGGAAGTGCAGCACATGGCAGACTGATTCTCCAAGGCAAGAGCTGTTTGTTTTCTCCCACCACAGTGTCTAACCACAGCACCTTTAACACCATAGAACATTTTTTTTTAATGGATGAGTAGATGTGTGAGTGGATGGATGGGTGGATGGGTGGATGGGTGGATGGATGGATGGGTGGGTAGATGGGTGAGTAGATGGATGTGTGGATGGGTGGGTAGGTGGATGGATGGATGGGCACATGTGGATGGATAGGTGGGTGGCTGCTGATATTAGGATCAACTGTACAATCAGAAACAAGTGGCAATTAATAGACTTTCCTATCAATTACATATCTAGGTAAACATGTCCTAGGGGGAAAATAAAGGAAGAAAAAAGGAAGGAAGGAAGGAAAGAAGGAAAAGAGAGGCCTCTGAAAGACAAAGAGGGCTCTCTAAACCACCAGAAAGTTTCCCTTTTACATCTACTAGACCATCTTGTGAAGTTAGTCTGATTGATGGATGTGCCCCGCCTCCTCCAGCAGACGGCGAGGCGTGTGTGTGCAGGGCCTGGGCCTGACCTCCTCATGGCCGGTGCCCAGCACTAGGGTGGCTTTAGCAGGAGCTCCACGGCTACACAATTTGTGAACGGAGCAGGAAGAGCTGCTCCGTTCACAAAGCCTCTTTGGGCCCAGGCACAGATCCTCTCATTTAATCCGCATAACAACCTTATGATGGCAGGACTATTATTATCCCTACTTCGCAGATGGGGAGTGTGAAGCTCAAGAGAATTCAATGAAATGCCCACAATCACACAATCAGGGGGCGGGACTCCCGGCTGCCAGCACCATGCCCTTGACCGAGGGAGAGCCTGACGCTTACACATTTTTGAGGGGCCCTCCTTAAGGGAAATTACAGCCAATAAAATCTGCTGCAAAGTTTACAGAAATATAGGACCATGTGAACAAATCGCTGGGGCCCCGCCCGGCCTTGGAGCGGCCCTGCTCGGGGGCCCAGGGGGAGGAGGGGGTGTGTGTTCTGCAGGTTCAGCTTCATTGGCTTCAGCACAAAATTGCCTCTGATCTTGATCCACGTGGTGGAAATGACAGGAAAAGGAAGAAGGAAGAGGAAAAATGGGGAAAGAGAGGAAGTGAGAAAGGAGGAGCAAAAGGAAAGTGGGGGGATGGAAGGTCAGGGGGGAATGGGAACATGAGGGAGAGGCGGGGGCTGGGTGGGAGCCGAGCAGGCCTGGATGAGTGGGCGCCAGCCAGGAGCTCCCAGCTGGCCCCTGGAGGGTAGGCCCCCTGCTTTCTCCAGGCCTCCGGGCCTCCGCCTGCAGACCTGGCAGCCTCCCTGCCCACACCCTGCTCGGGTGCCTCCTTCCCAGGCCTCTCCTCGGGCTCCCAGACCCACCTGGGAGCTGGCGCACAACTGGAGCCAGCAGGGCTGAGCGATCATCCCCACGGCTGGTCGTGCGCAGCGGCTTTCTTGCCTGGGCAGCCACCTCCTTCCTGGTTCACCACCTGAGCGCCCAGGGAGGAGCCGCCGACCTAGGGCTAGATGTTTAGCCTGGCACAGGGAAGACCAAGGCTAAGGAAAGCCTGGTCCAGGGTGGCCGTGGGCCTCTTGCTGCCCAGCTGCTGAGTCATCCTTGAAAGGGAGGCACCTGCCGAGGTCCTTGCATCCTGTCCCCTGTCCCAATGTTCTGACACCAATGGGGCTTGACTGCCTAAAACCTCCAATTCTAAAGGCCATCACCCTAGAGTTGGGGAGGGTTGGGGCCAGATTGGCTCAGAAGACCCTCCAGATGAGCCTCCGATCTCTGCTGCTCAGAGACTAGTCCAGGGCCACCTTGAGCAGTGGAGATCTGACCAGCAATCAGTTAAATCTACCCATTATCCCTCCGTCTGCTCAAACATCAGTGCAGCCTTACGTGGGCCAAAGCTCCCCAGAGCACGCTCCTGGGCTTCAGATGCCCGCCTAACATTCGGCCTGTTCACATGGCTGGGAATGGTAGCACCAGATTCCAGATCCGGTTCTGCCAAACTCAGTGTGACCTGGGGACCACTCACTTCACCGCTATCAGCTATGATGCCTTGGCTGTCAAATGCGGACCAAACATTCCTCGTGGGGAGAACTAAGGAGATGGCCCCCAGAAGCATGTTGCCAGTGGAAGGGCCAGGACACATGTCTAACCTGGGCTGGTCCCCGGGAGGCTCAAGGCTGGGAAATGGAAGGCCTGGATTGGTCTGGAATCTGACCCTGATTTCCGGGGTTCTCTTGAGCACTTGGCTTTGCGTCTCTGGAATTCATTTCCTCACCCACAAAGTAGAAGAATAGGGGAAGACCGTTCCAGCCCCCTGGCTCTGTGGTTCCAGTGTGCCACCCTGTACACGCCAGCCAGGGGGAAGCTCAGACCTCAGGATGTGCCAGGATGTGGACCAGAAGCGACCCTGTGAGGGCGGGAGACCTGAGGCCGGGCCAGAGCACCAAGGGTCAAAATACTTGGTGAGTGTTGGGGCAGAGGCAGGAAGCCCTGGACAGCCGTGCCGGCTGCCATGTCCTATGTAGGCCCTGCACGCCAGCTCTGCTCCTGGGGCCCAGGGGGTGGAAGGCAGCAGCTCTCGTCTTCCTAAGAGAAGAAACCACTCCTTCTCTGTGGCTTCCCAATTCTGCTGCTCCACACCTGGCGACAGCCCAGTTCTACTGAGCAGTAAATTCTGTCATCCCAGCCCCCAGACTCCTCCACCTCCATACACCCCCAAGCCAAAGAACCCCCACACTGAGAAGACACACAACTAGGAGAGAAAGAGAGAGAGAGAGAGCCTTCTGACATCACCATGAGCCAGCACCCAGTTGGGTGAAGTCACTCAGGCGGGAAGGCTTTGCAACATCCTAGGTATGTCACCTGCTCTGAGGCCAAAAGTCATAAATGACTCCAGGTGTTGTTCCAGCCCCTTAGGTGAGTGTCAGGTTACAAGGCACATAGTCATTCCAGTCTACCAACTTCACCTGTAGGGTTGTTTTAATCCACCTGCCCTACAGTCCCCAAATCACTCCTGGACTACAACAACAGGAAGTGGCCCTCGCACCCAGGGGCGAGGGATGCTGGACAGGAGGCACCGAGGCCTGCCCTGCACCTAGGCCTCCTCCAGCCAGCACAGCCCGGAGGTCTCTGACCCGTTAGCCAACCGGGACCCAATCCAGGGAGGACCTCACCCTGGGTTGGCGACCTCAGCTCCAGACTGCAGAGGAATCGGGAAGATCACAGAGCCAGCATGGTGAGTGAGGGGGCCTTCTGCTCCTAAGACCTGGGGAGGGTCTTCCCCAAAAGGGCCTTTCAAGCAGCCGGACAGGTCACCAGCTAAGGATTTTGTAACACCTTCCAGGTTTAAAAAAAGAGGTCACCTGGAATCCCCCCCACCTTCCAGCCCTGCAGGTGTCAGTACCGACCTCCTCCGCTCCTTGCCGACCAGCCCTCACACCAGCACCAAGGAAGCTGGGACGCAGAGGCCACCGCTGGCCCTCTCACTGCCCCTCCTAAGTCCCACCTGCTTTCTTATCCAGTGTCTCCTGGTCTGTTGGCTGGACACTGGCGTTACTTTTCCAAGCGCAAGGGGCTGTTCCGCTGCCCTCTGCCACCTCCCTGGGGAAGCGGACTCCTTTTCTTTTTAAATGAAATAGTGGAGTGCCGCCTAAAAAGAACCCAGGGTGCTTGTGGAGATCTGCTTGGTCTCTGTTAGACCCTGCCCTGTCTCCTCCTCTGAACGCCTAGAGCTTCTTTACTATCTCGGGGCAGAGAACCAACCCCATCTGTCCAGGACGGCTGAGGGCAGGGAGGGGAAGAGGTAACAGCCAGCCCCGGGTGGGGCTCGGGGAAACCTGCCTTCCTGGTCCTCAGCCGAGACACAAACAGCAGGAAAACGAAAGGAGAGGGAAAGGGATGCATTCCGTCCAAGGGGGAAAAGGTGACCTGGGGGGCCTCTCCAGTGACAGTCCCCTGACTCCCAGCCTGAGCACTTCCCATGAGACTCCTCTGAAAATCTGGCACAAGCCTGGCCCGGGAGCTGGGGCGGCCGAGGATCAGAAAGGGGACTGATATATTCTGCGATGCCCAGAGTCCCTCCTCCCCATCCAGGGAGGCAGCTAGAAGCCCAGCCCGTGTGCAGAGACGCTCCACCTCGCTGGGCTCTCAGCAGAGAGTGGGGCAGTTGCCTGGTCGTGAACCGTTTCTTGGGGGCACTGAGGAAATCCACGTGCCCCTTGAGGCAGCAACATAGGTTACTAAGGCAGGCAACGAGAGCGCTAAGCGTAAATCAAAAAGTCAAATGGCCAGCTCCCTTCTTGGCATATTATTCTTGAGATTTTCCTCTTTCTGAGACTCATTTTCTCCATCTGTAAAATGGAAATACTATCGTATGCACGCACCTGAACTGCACGGGCTAGTGATACCCATGAACAGGTGGGTGAACCACGAAGTCCTGCACACATATGAGGACGGATGACTAAAGTGGAATCCGCTCCAGGAAATGGCCGCTGGGAGGCACGGCCAGCACTGGGGTCACCTAGCTGCCCAGGGAAGGAGCTGGCATTGCTGTCTGCGAAAGGCAGAGCAAACTTGGTGGAAGACCAGCCTGGGGCCCCCCAGGGAAGGCGGCAGCATGGCCAGGATGCAGGGGAGGAACGGAGGGCTTCTGGTCCCCGAGCTAGCCCTGAATCTCCTGTGCCTCATAACCCAGTCATCTCCCTCTAGCGAGGCCAGGAGGACCATAGCTCCCAGCCCCGGGGAGAGCCCAACCCTCTCCTCTTCCCGTCCCCGCCCTGCCGCCTCCCACACCTCCTGCCCATCTCCCACACCCCTCCCTGGACAGTCAGAGTCCTGCCTGGTTACTGCCTCCTAACCATGCTTCTCCCTCAAATCTACTCAACTGAATGTGCCCAGTGACAGCAGAAGCTGGGGGAAGCCCTGGGCAGAAATCTGAACCCAATCTCTGTCACCAAGGGGAATGTGTCCCTTGCTATCTAGGCTGCAGCTGAGGCCCGGAGGAAAGCCTGGGAACCTACAATTGGCCATCCTGGTCTTAACTCATTACTGCCCAGAAGACCCCAAACACACCCTGAGCCCCCAGAGTGGAGTGTTAGATGCCTGGGCCAGTCCAGCCCTTCGGGCTGCTCTGGAGAAAGAACCCGCCCTACCCCCTCCCCGTTTCATTGCCAGTGGGTACAGACCAAGGGCTTTGCTAGGCTTGCCTGGGGCTCAGGAATGTGGCAGGTCAACAGACCATTATGGTGGCGGTGGGGGCCTGGGCAGCTCCACCCAGATGGAGACAGAGCCAGGAGCCCGCTCAGCCCTGGTGGTGCCATGCTGGGCTCTGCAAGGACTCTAAAGGGCAAGCTCAGCAAAGAAGGGCTCAGCACCTACCTGCTCTCCTGGGCTCCTCTCTACCTAGGGGAGGGGCTCCATGCTGCTGTCACCCCCAAAGTAGCTCCACCTGTGCGACCATTTAATCAACCCCTGTTATTGGCCAGCATCCACATGACAGGAAGTGGGACAAAGACATAGTGCCTAGGTTCCACCCTAGAGGTGCCCGAATCCAGAGACAGGACAGCTCTTTAAGCAAAGGACCCTGGGTGAATGTGATCAGTCTAATACCAGGGGGGATTTGGGGTACCTCTGGAACAGAGGAGGCAGTAATTCTCTCTGGGGTGGTCATGAAGTCATCCCAGAAGAGAAAGTATTTGCGCTGGACCTTGAAGGGGGAGCAGGCTCTCTCCAGGGAGAGAAGATGGAAACATGTTCCAGGCCGAGGGAACCGATGTGAATGGGGACAAAGAGTAGCCAGGGGTGGGGGAGCTGTGGCTGCAGCGGTGGGCACAGGGGGCGGAGTGGGACACACGTGGCTGAGGTAGAGGGTGCAGCGTACGCAGAGGTGGAGGCATGTCCCTGGGTCCTCCTCTGTCACCCAGAGCTCTTCCGTCCTCCTTGGCCACTGACATGGAAGAGTTTAGAAATCATGCCCCTCCGGCCACCCCATTCTCAGTCTGACCTCTGCACCCCTGCAAAAGCCAGCAATCACCTGCTACGGCCTTTGTGAAGCCGAAGAGACTCTGAGGAGCCGAAACTATTCTGGGGGAGCAGGGGGAGATGGGAAAAGAGACCGAAAACAGAGCTCAGGAGCTCAACAAACTTTCCAAAGCCCCAGGGCCAAACCAGGTAGCAGGAGACAAGCGCTCTCAGGTCTTAGAATCTTCCAGAGCTTCTTAGATTTCCTGGGCAGCTCTCCTCCCCTCTGCCTTCCTCCTCCTTCAGATGAAAACATCTGCCTCAATAAATCACCTCAAATTTCCAAAAACAATGATTCCCCCAAACAGTGAATTCTCCACACCCTAATGCATTCATTTGCTACATTTTTTAATAAACCTGCTGCTACCAGACTGTGAGCTTCTTGAGGAGCAGGCCTGTGTCTCTTCCTTCATTTAGCCCCACACCCAGCACAGGGCCTGACGCAGGCTGTGCGCCTGATACAGGCGTGAATGAAGTACAAGTAAACGACCAGAGACAGCGCATAACCAGCTACCTGATTTAGTAATGCTGATAGCAACGTCAGCCTGAGTCTGACTGGAAAAATGCCAGATTCTACCTGCAGGTGTTATCAAGGTTTTTTGTTCCAGGTGGGGCTGGGGTGAGGGAGGGACACGCTGGAGCCTGCCTGGAAACCCCAGTGATACCCAAGGGAGTCTGGCAGAGACAATGGGGCAACCCCCCACCGCCCCCTGCAGCTCTATCTGATTGCAGGGGAGAAATTTGCAAACAAGACTCAAAACCCCAACAGTCCTCTCCTCCCCTCCCCCTTGTCTAGCTCCTGAGCACAGCCCACAGGCGCCAGGAAACTCTCAGGAGAAGCAGATGAGAGGAGCTTGAGGGAGAGGCTGGGAGCCCAGGATGGCACCTAGCCAGGGGAGGCGGCAGGGGCCTTGGCCACAAAACGTCCTGCACGTCGACCTGGCTGGGCTCCAGCCCGCTGGCCTGGCTGAGCCCAACTTGGCTTTAGGCATTTCCTGCGATCCCAATTTCTTCTTTTATAATATGTATTCAGTCATACATTCAGCATGTGTTCCTTGAGCATAAACTATGTGCTAGGCTCTGGCCAGAGGAAGACACTGCGGAAGATTCAGAGAGGAATACACAAAACGGAAGCCTTCATTCCGTATAGTCCAGAACCAGGATAAACTGCTTCCCCCATCCCGGGCCAAGCAGGGCACTCAGCCACCCGCAGATGTCAACACAAAGGGGGGCAATGCAGCTGAGGACACTCCACCTCGCCACACCCCATTCCCAGCCTGACCACGTGACCACCCCTCTGATCCCCAGGAAGGAGGGTCCTGCCAGGCTGTGGGGAGCACCCTTCCTGGGGATCCAAAGAGATTAATAACAGCAGCAACATCTTATTGCCACCCAAATGCAGCGAGGGCAGCATTTTCAGCTTGGGAAGCACGTCCACCCCCAGAATCTCCCTGAGTCTTACACCAACTCCGAGACACTGTGATCCTCATTCTAGGGATGAGGAAATCCCGGGGCTCAAAGCGGGTAGGCGATTTGAAGGGCCACTGGGCCAGGAAGAGGCACGCTGGGTCTCGAAGCTCTGGGACTTCAATGTCAGGTGCTCTGCTTTCCCACGATGCCCTCCCTCTCCTCCACTACGTGGACCTGTAAGACGGAACTCGACACTAAAACATGAAACTTGTACTAGAACTAGAAACGACAGAAACAGGGACCCCGCCCGGTTCTGCCTGGACCCCCACCTGGAAGCTGATAGGTTTTATAACAAAGTGAGCCCTGAGTGAAGACGCCTCAGAGGCACAACCTGGTGGAGGAAAGACAGTGTTTTTGCTGCGAGGAGACCGAATCCCCCGCTAATCGACTCAAGGTCACTAAGGAGGAAATACACACAGAGAGACAAAGGAAACCAGTGGGCAGAACTCAGACGTTCAAGAAAACATTTCACACCCAAGGCTGCTTGGGGGCGCTGGGGAGACAAGTTCGCATGAGCTTATTAAGGATAGAAAACCAATTTAAAAAGACAAAATAAGTAAACCAGGCCTAAGACTAGTCTGAACGGTGAGTGGGGGCAGTAGAAGTTACAGGCTGAGAGCAAACTTCGGAGAGTGAGGCCCCAAGGAAGGCCCTTCGGGGGTCTTCACCCCAGGATCAGTGGCTTCCCCAGGTCTGTCCCAGCCTCAGAGCCCTCCGCCCCACTGAAATGTAATGCAGACCCCCACCCCCATGCAGAAAGCAGGCTGAAAAGCAGAGGCACAGACTCAAAGGCCTGCGGCCCCACCCACTCCTGCCCTGCCTCCCTCCGCTTGCAACAACCTCTTTAGGAGCCACCAACTTCCCAGGGGTGCCGGAGAGCCCTCAGCTGGCCTGCCCTGGAAATCTCCTTCTCACGCTCCAGCTTCTACGCACACTCCTTCTGTGGCTTCAAACAGAAAAAGAGAAAGCCGCCCCTCGTAAATTGGCCCGTTCATCCTCTTCGCCTCTTCTTGAGGTGGCGCCACACCTTCTAAAGGACCGCCTTTGGGCTACTGCAGGTCCTTCTACCTCTGACCTGCACCCTCCATACTTTGCTCACAGAGAGGGCACGCAGGTCATACGGCCCCATTTCAGGTGCCCTAACTGTCCTGGGTGCTCTCCCGCCGGTGCCCTCGAGTCCGGCGTTTCCCTTCCGGAAGTCAGGCCCCTGGGTCTAGCGAAACCATAAAATCGTCTACCATTTGTTCAGCTCCTGTTACAGACGTGCTAGGCCATCTGCTAGGCTCTTTGCCATTAATAGTTAATGCTTTTTGAGTATCTTCTATGTCAAGCACTTGCAGGTTCTATATTAGTAGTTATTAATTATTAACAAAAATAACAGAATATGTGCTCCACAGGCACAAAGACTTTGACTTTTTTGGTTCACTGCTGTATGTCCAGCCCCCAGAGTGGTGCTTGATTGAACAGATAAAGTAGTAGTATTATTGGTGGTGGTGTCACTATTATTGTCACCAACATCGCATTCTTACTATGTACCAGGCAATGTGCTCTATGCTGTGCATAGTTTGATCTCATTAAGAAGAAAATTTATCCAATCTCTTTTTTTCTCTCTCTCATTCTTTCTCACACACACACACACACACACACACACACACAAACACATCCCAAATTGAGGCCCCCAGTGGTTAAATCACTTGCCTACGGCCTGTACTCTATGCTCTGTAAAACAGCCTCCACTAGCAAACAGCAGCCCAGAGAGGAAAACCGTCGTGAAGCACGTATAGTTCTGTGAGTGTGCAGGAAGGTGGCGGGGAACTCGGGTCCTGCAACTGTGGAGTCACAGAAACCCCACTGAAGCTCCATTTATAGGATGGCCAGTTCAGAGTTCACAGGAGATGGGAAGTCACTCCTGACCTCCAGGAGGTGCCAGCTGTTGGCTGCAGAGCCCAGCTGGCACACCAGAGGCTGGCTCTCTGGGAGCGTCCAGAACAAATGAGAATGCTGCGTCGTGCCCATGGGCAGAACCACTGTGCGGTCTCCCTCGCATGCCATGTAGACTTTCTCCCCCCACGCCTCCAGGGTAATTGGATCTGAGGGGACTGCTTTCCGTGCTACACTCCTCTCTAGGCCCAGCACCTGCATCACCTGCATCACCTGCATCAATTATCTCAGCTAACCTTACCCACAACCCTATGAAGCACATCGTATCTGCCTGTTTTATAGATGAGGAAACTGAGTCTCAGAAAAACTAAGGAACTTACCCAGGAGCACATGGCGGGTGAGGGGCAGAGCTGGACTCAGGCCGGTGCTCCTGACTCTGAGCTCAGGGGGAGCAGGGACAGCTGAGACCCCTCAGACCACACAGGCCCACCAAGGGGCCCCTGAGCACGCCTGTAAAATCATGAGAGGACCAGATGGGGTTGCCGTGGGCCTGAAAAGGCACACCGTTACTAGCAGGAGGAGCGCCTAACGGAAACTTTTTCACTGTCTAGTTTAATCATACCCACTTCCAAAGGCGGAAACTGGGTCCAGGAGATGTTGAGTGGTTTGCCCAAGGTTGCTCAGCAGGTAACTAGCAGGGTTAGACTGGATAACACCGAATAACCTCCCCTCCACGTTCCACCTCCTTAAAGTTTAAAGGACAATTCAAGATAAGCAAGAGAGAGTATGATTCTTCAAAGGCAGCATAAATTTTGTAGGGTTCTTCTACAAGCATCAGACTATGCAGACAGCTGTAGATGGCAGCCCCTTAGTTCAGGTGAATTGGAGTGTTTAGAGAACCTTTCCAAGCATTAAGGTTCATCAGGCCTCCCTGAAGGCAAACCCCTCAGGGTCCCTGTCCATCTGGGTGGCCTGAGCCCTGATGGCTCTCATGTCCCCTCAGCCACTGCCCAGGCCTTGCTCCCCATTGTGCAAAGGTGGGGCACCTTCCTTCCCATCAGACTCTCCTGGGAAGGGAAGGTGGGCGGGATCCACCCACCACCCTGCAGCAGAAAGATGAGCAAAGTGGAATTGTTGAGAATTCAGAAAGGATGCAGAGAATGGGGAGGTTGCCCTGGAAAGGAGCAGGCCTGCGGGGGGATTCGTAAGAGTTACAGCTAACAGCAGCATGACCTGGGGGCAGGGGCCTCTAACCTGGAACCCGGTCTTCCTTCAGTTCAATTCAGCCCATTTGCATGCCCTGCACCTCACTCCCGCCCTTCACATTGTCTTGGCATATGGCCTGGGGAAAGAGAGAAAAAAGTCTCTGTGCCTCAGTTTCCCCACATGTGAAACAGGGATCTCACACCATCACTGTCCCCTGCCCTGCCTGGGGGTAAGAACTATGCCTGCACACAAAGGCTGATCTTAAAGGAGAGCAGCTGAGCGGCAGGCTGGCTGCAGGATAACAGCAGGCCACCTGACACCTGCCCGCAGCTCCAGGCCCTGCCTGGAGCCGTTATGTGCTGCAATGGGGTCCAGGAGCTCAGCTCGAATTGCCAACAGGTCAGCCCCGACGTGGCTTAGAACAAGGCAAAATGGTTTCTAATGCAGCAGATGAGGCGGAGGTTGGTTCTACAGGAACAGGCCTGCTGGAAGGATGCCTAACACAGGGCAGAGTGAGGGGGAACGTTTACCGAGGCTCCTTCGTGTGACACCTTTACCTGTGCGTGGCCCGGCACGGGGATCTCAGAAGATACTTCAGACCTGTCGTGTCTGAGAACCTTCCATGCACCCTGGGCTGCCGCGTCACACCCAGGCCCCCCTCAGGAAGCTCACGTCCTCCCCCACCTCACCACCGCCCAGCCCTCCGTCCCCTCTCCTCACCTTACCTGTCATGCTGGAGGCACCCAAGAGGGTACTTGCACCAGCTTGGCAAAGACATTAAACTGCCCGACCCCAGCGGCGGGTAGAGAGGACACAGCCCCTTGCCATCAGGTTGGGGGTGGGATGCTGGTTCAGGGGTCAGAGATCCTAGAGAGGCCCCTCCAAGCAGCCCCCGAGCACCGGAGCCAGAGCTCCACTCTGCCGGCTGACAAGGAACAGCCCCTGGGTCTGCAGCCTCACCAGAGAACTTTCTCCACCCCCTCCCCTGGGTTTTCTCCCCTGCTGTGTCACTGGCCTCAGCAACCTAGCGGAGCCACAAAGGACCTGTTTATCCCATTACCTAGCAACAGAGCATCCCTGGCTCCTGGCTTTCCCCGAGAGACCGCAGGAAGCCAGGGCTTTAGCCCCCAGGGGAGCCTGAAGCTGCCACAGACCAGAGCAGGGCCAGAAAGTCCCTCACTCCTCTGCTCTTCTCCCTTCTTCTACATCCAGGAACCCCAGCTCTGCCCCTACTAACTTCTTTCCAGAACAAGGAAACAGCAAAGAGGAGAGAGAAATGAGGCCCAGGGTAGGCGGCTTGACAAGGAAAGCAGACGAAGTTGCTGGCCAGGCTTCCTGCTCCAGCCTCTGTCCATTGCCACCTCTTCTTCCTTCAATATTAGCCTGGGAGAGCCCGTGCCCATTGCACTGTGTGGCCATTAACCCTTTTATCTGCTTTACCAGCTCTGAACGCACATTCCCAATTACCCAAGGGATCTTGGGGTTCAGAGAGGTTAAGGAGGGAGCCCAAGGCCACAGAGCAAACTGAAGACAAGGCCAGGTGAGAACTCACACTCCCCGGGCTGGTTCTTTGTGGCTTCTCGGCAGCACACTTAATCCTCCCCCCATTTAAAATCGGGAGCGGCCTTTGTCTGAGTTGATCCTCTCTGAGCTGGAAGGTTAGAGCTGAGCTAAGCCCCACCGGGAGGTTCTCCAGGATCTAACGCATCAGGGGCTGAGGGGAGCTGGCAAGTAAAGGGAGGGGGGCAGGTGAGAAAGGCACAAAGTGATGGAAGAGAGGGCACATGCTGCTACCAGCCACACCGAGGCTCCTGCCAAGCTCAGCGTCCGGCCCGTCCACCCGTTCACCGTGGGAGGGAGGCCTTCTCACCCCCGCTCACGGAGAACTTGGCAGGGCCAGGACCCGAGCAGGGGTGAGTTTGTCTTCACACCCAGTGAAGGGCTGCAGAAACACTGGGGATATAATCGACTGCATGCTGACTATGTGCACCCAGACCCACTGCCACGGAGCAGAGCGTCAGGAGGACCCCGCGCAGCTAGTGAACTTACCAGAACAGGCTCCTGCACCATGGGGAGAGGAGGACCGTAGTCCTCTGAGATTGGCCCCAAGAGCTGGGTCTGTTACTTACTTGCTCTGAGGCCATAGCAGCCACTTTATCTACATGAGCCTGCACTTTCTCATCTGGAAAATGGGGATCATGTCTCAGGGTTGTTCTGAAGATTAAATGGGATACAATCTAGGAAGGATATTGTGAGCTATGCAGTACCTACCTGTGGGAGTTAATGATTCTGCCTCCTAATTTGGGACTTGGATTAATGTCTCTCTGCCACCAGGGACCAACTGAGCTAACCAGGCAATGGACAGGTGATATTCAGCCATCTAACACCCATCTACTTTCCCACCCAGCCCCACCTTCTCCGGCTCGGGCCCTCCTGGCCTCTGGGGTCCCACGTGTCCCTGCCCTTCCATTATAATCCAGACAGCAGGAGCTTCATGCCCACACGAACCCTGGGCCAGACACTGGTTGGGCTGGACGCACGAGTCAGGGCTCTGCAGCAGACTGAAAGGCAGACAGGCCTGAGCCAGCCAGCAGCCCCAGTGTCCAGGGCAAGGCTGATGCCCCCGCCTGGACTGGGCTGGGCCTGGGCTGTGGTAGTGTGGCCATGGCCTGAGTTCAAGCTGGGGATAAACAGAGACACCTCCAGGAAAGCAGAAGGTGGTACAGTTGGTCTTTGATGATCTCTCAGGCCCCTTCCCTCTGTCAGCTCAAGGGCAAGGCGTTTCCTCTGTCTGGCCTGTTTCCTCATCTGAAAATGAGGGAGTTGCCTGGACTGGTCCCCAGAGACCCTCTTGGTTTGGCATCCAGTGAGCATGGCAGGGATCCCCCCACAGTGATGGGAGCTGGACAGATTCCTGAACATCACCTGGTGCCCACATCTCTCAGCCCCATTCTCTCCTTCGCCCAGCTCAGGACTGATTCTGAGCTGAAAGGTGATGCAGCTGCTCAGCATCCCCATCCCTGCCCTGCTCAGGGAAGTCACTGACATTGACATTCTCCAGGCACCACTCACAGGCTAAACGTACCCACCTCCCTTCCCTGCCCACCATCCCGACACCTGTGACCTTCAGCAGCTCCCCTTCCCAGAAGTTTAGCAACCCATCATCTCTGATCTCTGTGTCAAAGATGTTTGCCAGAGAGGCTTTGAGAAAAGCGAAAAGAGTAGACCACTAGATGGAAGAAACAGGGCCACATGAGAGTCAGAACAGAACTGGGAGGGGAGGGGTTTGCCTCCTCGAACCTCTCAGCAGGACCAGGTAAGTGCCTTACGTTCTCCTGGAACCTCAGGTGCACACCACTCCATGAGTCGCGACCCTTGGTTCATGACCTCCCCACTACTGGTCCATGCAGGGGCCCTGGTAACCCATCAGCGAGTTAGATGGTTTTAACAATGCAGCACACCTCCTTCCAACCACCATCCAAAATATAAGCTAGAATTTAATAACCTACATCCAACATGAGAAACCCCTTGGGCACACACACATTCCACCCACCTACGACACCGGGGGTGGGGGGCAAGGGGGGCAAGTCTCTTTTGTTTAATCATTCAACAAATGTGATTGTACATCTCTGCTAGGCCAGGAAATGTGCGAAGAGTCCTTTAGAAGTTAGCCTCTTACAAATGCCAATTCCAGCCCTTTCTTGCTTCCTTATGACAAAGATTCTGTTAACATGGAATCTCTTGAGACTTACTTTTTTCTTTACTATTAAACTGCTAATGCCATCCATATTATTTTGTGGTACCACATTTCCTCTTATTGACTGCAGCATAATATTCCATTGTGTGACCATACCACAGGCAGCTTCTTCAAGGCTGGCCTGGGACTGAGCCCTGAAACTGAGATATCTTCCTTTATTCTCTCATTCTAAAATACTTATTAAGCATCCACTGCATGCCAGGCAGTGTCGAGATGCCAGGGTTATAGCAATTTATCAAGACGGTTACAGTAATATACTTCTAGCTGGCAGCTTCACTGTACTTTTTCTATTTATTTTCTTCTGTATTTGTTTCTATTGTGTGGATAGCAATTGTAAACATATTAGCTAAAGGGATACTGAAGTCACTTCAGGTCAGAGATGAAGAATCCAAGCCCTCAAAAAGTGCAGACTATAACCCTCTTTTGCTCCTGCTGTGTCTCAGCTTCTAGAACAATCCTGTGTTCATCAAAGGCACAGAGTCAATATTTGTTGAATGAATAATAAACAAGAGACCTGCCTTACCTGCCTCGATGAACACAGGCATGAATGCACAGGTAGACTCAACCAAAAAGAAGGAATTTGCAGGGGAAGGGTCACTAAATGGGTGCTCTTGAAGCCCCTCCACCTGCACCACCTGCAGCCTTCACGTCTCAGCAGATTCCCTCTTCCCTGCTCACTAAACACCCAGAGCATCTGAGCACCGACGGGGTCTATGGCCTCTACCTCGCAAATATACTGGGAGTTTTCCACCACCGGCCTTTCCTCCCTCCTTTTGTCCTAAAGGAAATCTGTGCCTCCAGCACCACACTTGCTCCTGCCTGCTTGGCACCTTCCTGTCGCTCAAGTGCCAGCCCAGAGGCCCTCCTGAACCACCTGACCTCCCACTCTAAGGACCCATCCTGGCATTGTCTCCTAGTGCCCACCTTACTCTCCACAGACATCCACCCTTCTCTGGGTTTATCCCTTGTTGGCCTGTCCTCCCACCCGCCAGCTCACCTGAGGGGAGGCCAGGGCCTCACCTATCTTGTTTGGGTGCCTCTCCCGTCCTGCTCTAGTGATTCCTTATTTGTCTTTGAATCCACAGGTCCTAAAGCAATGCCTGGTCAAATTCTTAATTTAATACATAATGATTTAATGCTACCCATACCAGTTACAGACAGTTGGTAGCCATCCTTCCCACCCTTGAGTTGGACAGGTAGACAAAAGGACTTTGTAACCTGGGATGTGATGATTTTATGGGGACCACTGGTGGTGGTGGTGGCCTGACTCGGTAGCCACAGCAGCTGACAGTCACAGATGTGACCTCATCTTTGTCCTGGAGACGGTCCCCCTCCCAGGTCTGGTGCCGGCAGAGAGAGAGTTAGGGATGAACTACGGTACAGAGTCCAGAGTGCAGTTCAGTTTCACAGACATTTATCAGGTCTTCAGGAGGTACAAACCCGATACAAAATTCAGAGGACACAAGGCAGCGAGAGGCAGAGACCACCCAGTGGGGTAGAGCTGTACTAAAGTCCTGTCCCAAATGCTGCAGGAGCACAGGACGAAGGGCAGAGGGCGGGGAGCTTGCCAGTCACTGTCCCCCAAATAGCTCTCTTACTCTGCACATAGAACTGTGAAGGGGGTGTGATTTTCCCACTCCATAGAGAGTAAATGTGGAGCTCGGAGAAGGGAAGGATGTTGCTCAAAGGCTCACATTTACCAGGAGGAAGGGTCCATATCCCCCCTCAGCTCCTGCAGACTCCAGGGCCTGCTGTCTCTGGCTACATCCCAGCTTCCAGTGGCCTAGCGTCACCGAAGGGAAAGCCAGGCCGGTCCCTCTAGCAGACTACAGTTTGAGAGGAAAGGAAGGAGCTGCTTCTCCCAATGACTGTCTGCCATGCTCAGCCATGGTTGCAGGCAGCACCCAGGCCCCCCAACCCATATCTATCCACCCAGGAGTTAAAAGAGGTCCTCTCACTCTCAAATGGGGCTGCAAAATTCCCAGCCAGTAATGTTCAAGCTCCTCCACCCACCACCTGGAGCAGCCATGACCTCAGGACAATGGACAGGCAGGCAGGTCCCTCGGTGGAGGCCTAGACCTCAGGAAGACCTACTTACTGCTTAGTCAGCACAGGGACCCAAACCCAGGGCCAGCCGAGAAGAGAAAGAAAGAGGAGAGAGGTTTCCAGGAGCCCCAAGAGTGTGGGAGGATATCAGAGAGCATGAGACTCGGCAGCCCACTCCCCTTAACCTTTGCCTTGCAGCAAAGGGGGTGCGGGAACATTGTACGTAAGCCTTTGTGTGTGCGGCCCTGTGTGTGGCCATGTTTGTGCTCAGTGCACACGGGCAGTGGTGTGAGCAGGGGAAGACCAAGGTTTGGCAAGTGTTTCTTCACGTGTGTCAATCATGACCCATGGCGACTCCCACCGAAATACCAGTGCTCTGGTGGTTTTTCATGTTTGCTCTATTGGGTATAACATACATTCAGTAAAGTACTTAAGTCTAAAACATACCCCTCAGTGGATTTTTACACATATATGCCCCCATGTAACCAATACTTAGATCAAGATCTACAAGTTTTCCAACATTTCAGAAAGCTCCATTGTTCTTCCAGTAACCGCCCCCACCTCCCCAGTGGTAATCACTATTCTGACTTCTATCACCATAGATTAACTTTACCTTTTAAATTTCATATAAATGAAATCATGCAGAGCTTACCCTTTTATCTAGTGTCCTTCCTTCCTTATTACGTCTGTGAGATTCCACCACATGTCATTGCCTTCAGCACTAGTTTATGCTTGTCTCCTGATGATTATATTCCATTATGTGAATATACCACAACTCATTTATCTAGTCCACCAGCAACTGACATTTGGGTTTTTCCAGTTTTTAGCTACGATAAACGAAGCTACTACAAACATTCATGTACAGGTCTTTTTGCTGGATATTACTCTTGGCTATACTTCCTGGGTTGTAGAATCATAGAATAGTCATATATTTAGCACTAGTTGATTTAGCCAAACTATTTTCCAAAATATTTGTACCAATGTACATACCCCACAACAATGTACGAGAGTTCCAATTGCTCCATATTCTCACCAACACTTAACATTGTCAATCTTTTAAAATTTAGCCATTTGGGTGTCTATGCAGAGATATCTCATTGTGGTTTCAATCTGCCTTTTCCTGGTGAGTAATGATCCTGAGCACCTTTTGGTACTCTTTGGCCACTAAAGTATCCCCTTTTGTGAAGTGCTCAAGTTTTAAGAGAACTACAACATCTACAGACGTAGATAAATGATTGACAAAAACAGACAGTAGAGCAGAATCATCTTAAGAAACAGCAATACATGGAGCAATCCAACAGCCAGTCATTTCTACAGTTGTTAACTAGTTGCTACATAAGCAAACTAGTTGTACCAGGTCACACGGATGCAGAACTGAAGCTTGCATTTTGGTATCACAGAGTCCTCCAGCTTAGATTCAGCAGGGAGAAGGGAATGCAAATAAACACCAAGAGCCCCCCCCACCCCCACCCTGGCTTTTAGCCCCAGCCCGAGAACCTCCCTCACTCAACTCACTGCCTGTTTTCCCTTCAATTACAGGATCCCAACAGTGATCAACACCTGAACAGCTTCAGTAAGCTCAGGTCTGGCTTCCCTTTGTCCCCCTCAGCCTCTGGGTTTCAGCCAGTTTCCAAGCAGACACTACACCCCTCTTGCACAGCCTCCCACCACCACCGAATGCTAATGCTGTGGGAGGCATCTACTCACCCAGGATTCATGAGACCCTGTTTTATTCTAGAAGGTAGGAGGCCTGGTCTCTGGGGAAATAGGACCGACAAACAGAAGCCCCCAAAGCAGTAATTTTCCAGTTGAATGATTCGGCTGTTCATTTTCTCACTCATTCAACAACACTGTGCATACCTGCCAGGTGCCAGTCTCTGGGCTGGCTGCTGGGCTACAGGAATAACACAGCCAAAGTCCGTGCCCTCATGGAGTTTACAGTCTGACCCCACAGCCAAGGAACAAATTGGGCAAAGAGGTTTCCGCTGGTGGAATAGAAAGTGGCAGTGTTTGCCTGACTTACAGGAGAAAAATAGGTTAATCAATAAAGTGTTCCCATATTTAAGGGTATTTTTCCTCTCGTTCCATTTTCTTACACCCCTGATTCTCACTCCGGATAGCCTGCTGGGTCAGCAAAATGAGCAAGCCAAGAACAAATTAATACGACAGATCAATAAGGAAATGACCAATCCCACTTACTCTGACAGCTTATTTATTTCAGGGTCACAAGTTAATAATGATCATAAATGATGTAATCTTCAGCAAGTAAAATGATGCCTAGATTATACTTAGGAATCGAATATATCACTAGACCCTGGTGTCCCCCAGGAACACCAGCCTTCCAAGGGATGCACCACCTGAGTAAGTCGGAGAGCTGCCAAACAGAAAACAAGTGAAATTTGCCACCGATGCCCCGTGTGAGGGGGCACAGGAAGGGAGGGGCAAAGCCAGGCGGCCAGTGAGGGCGTTATGGGTCAGGCAAACTTTGACAAAAGCTCCACAGGAGTAAGCTGTCACAAAATAGAAGAAAGTGATGAGGGTCTCGGTGGATGGAAGAAGGGGCAAAGGTTCAAAGGTAAGAACCAGGGAAAGAACTGCCATGTAGGGCCCCGGGGCTTGGTGGGGACTGGCAGTGGGAAGTCCATTTGGGCAGGGGAGTGAGGCCAAGTTACAGTGACCTTGGAAGCTCAGAGAAGCATGTGGTCTGGAGATGGAAGTCAGAGAGCCCTGGAGGGCTCTCGAGAGGGGGAGTGACAGGATGAAAGCAATACATCGGGAAGCTGTTTGGCGAGGTGGGCGGGGTGGGCTGGAGGAAGGGACCGTGGCAGGCAGGGAGGCCATCCACAGGCCAGCAGGTTTGTTAACTTAAAGTATGAGGCAACCAAGAAAACCCTTCCCTTCGTGATAGTGTCCTGCCTGAGAATATCAGGGAGGCAGAGACACTGGCCCTTGCACAGGCGAACTCAAGTCTCCCAAGAGGTCATTCACCCCCGAGAAAGCAAGCCAGCCTCATGTCCCCAGCGGCAGGTGCTCCCTAAGTGAGTCACTCCTGAATGAATGAACAATGTGCCACCATATCCATGGCCACAGGAAAGAGGACAGTTCTGAACACTAGCTGCTGCAACTTTAAAAACAGTATCTGCTAACACTGATAACCTACTTTGTGCCAGGTCCTGATAGTAACAGGCAATACCAGCCCACATCTCCAGGGCCTGAGCTCTGTGTCTGAAGTTTAAACACTTCCTTTTAAGGAAACACAAAGTCTCCTATACTTTCTCTATCAACAGATTCAGTGGTATCAGCCCTTGTTGGGCACCAGTATCTGGCAAGGTGCTTTTGAAGAGGAGAGGAAAGAGATAAAGACAGACAGGTAACCAGCCATCATTTAAGGCAGAATAAAATGAGTCCTGTAAGAAAGATGGAAGGGCTATGCGTAAGAGAACAAGCAAAAGCAATTCATTTGTTCATTCAACAAATATTTGTTGATTGCCTACCACAGGCCAGGCACTATTCTCAGCACCAGGGACTCAGCAGTGAACAGAAGAGACAAAAACCTCTATCTTCAAGGAGACTTCATTTCAGGAAAAGATGGAAGAGGAGAGAAAATAAACGATATGTTTAAAATTCAGAGTCCATTAGAAGGGATAAGTCCTTTGGAGAAAAAATTAAACTGGGAAGTAGAACAGGAAATGTTAGAAGATTCCATTTTCAATAGGAATGTGTCAAATAAGGCCTCGCTAAGAAGGCAACATTTGGAGAATGATCGGAAGGTTATGAGGGCCCGTGCCACATGGAAGGGGTGGGGAGAGAGCTGGCCTATTACTTTCTAGAGATTCTTAATGTTGCTCCAACTCCTGCCCCAGGCTTCCCTGGAGGAGAAGTCCCTGCGGCCCCTCCCCGGCTTACTGACTGCAAAAGATGCCCGGGGTGCAAAAGAACCGATGTGATACTTGCTGAGAATTTTAACTTTCCAAAGCCTTGCCCATGACCCATCTCCTTGCATAGCCAAGTGAAATGGACAATGTGTACAGTCATTATTAGCTCTGTTTTAGGCACCCAGAGGCTCCTACCTGGTCTCCCTCCCCCCAGACTCTTTTGTTCGAGCCCATCTCCTCCCTGAAGAGAGGTTCATCTTTCTAGTACTGATGTGATTGTGTCTTTCTGCTGCTCCAAAGCTTTCTGTGGCTCCTTACTGCCTTCAGGATAAAATCCAAGCTCCTTAGCATGGTATTCAAGTCTCCACAAAGTGGCTTTGCCGGTCCGGCCTCCAAAATGTGCTTGTACCCACCTCACGTCCCAGGCACGCCAGGAGCTGGGGTTCCCCCCACCTAGGCCTCTGCTGAGTTGGTCCAGCTCCCGCCTCCCCCATCTCCATCCACACAAGCCCACGTCAGAGCCTTGCTGCTCTCTGGTAGTAGTGGCAACCGTGTCGTGTTTGCCTCTTCTCCCAAATTTCAATCTTCTTAAAGACAAGGACCATTCCAGGGACCTGCTGTTTGTTGAACTGAGTGGAGATGGGGCCATCAGCATGCATTCACTCACATGTATTCATTAAGCTTCTACTAAGCGCTTACTGTGCCCTCCTTGAGCTCATCGTTTAATCAAAAGATAAGTCAGGAAAGAGGATACATGATAATAAAGTGAATGGGTACGTGCCTGTCCCAGGGCAGATGCCGGGCAGACAGGATAGGGCGAAGCACCCTAGAGCAGGCTGATCCAGACAAGGGGTGTCTCCACGGTCCCGAGCCTCCATTGAGGGGTGCTTGTGAACGTCAGATAAGCCCGAGTGAGGGAAGGAGGTGGGTGACCTGACCGTGTGCTGTTGAAGCTGAACCTAGTCTGCAGGAACAACCCCCGATACTAACCAAAACTGTCCCCAAAGCATTTCTGCTGCTCAGCCTGGGGGGAGAGGGGAGGCAGGGCCCAGGGAGGCTGTGGGCCTGGGCAGTGGCTGTGTCCAAGTGCTGACTGCAGGCTCTTTCCCTCTGCCTCACAGGTGTCAGCCCCCTGAGCAAACCCAGCGCTCCCCTGGGGACCTTCAGAAAGGTGGGGCTCCCCCTCATTGCAGCCCTGCTGAGCCTGGCCATCCTCATCATCATGGCAGTCCTTGGTAAGTAGCAGCCCCCACCTGCCTGGCCCCTGCCCTCACCTGAGCACACCTGCCACCCCAGCAGAGGCAGCAGCAGAGGCAGGTGACCTGCTGCAGAAAGCCCGGTGCCTGCGTGTTCCCACCCACTGCCTTGAAGGGAGCCTTCCTCTAGAGGGAAAGGGGCTTGGATTCAGCCCCCCGCTGCCCCAGATAGCTTCTAGCCCAGGAAATTTCTTCCAGAGGAATGGCACAGTTGCACATATTGCCAGCCCACAACCCCTGCCTCCTCTTTCGGTGTCTGCAGACTGCAAGCTGGGTGCATTTGCACAACCCTACTGATACAAGGGCGGGAGGCTTTTCCACCTGTGAGGAGGGGCTGAAGAGGGAGGCCCTCAGGAAGACCCCCCAGGCGGACAGCATGCCCTCTCACTCCTGGCTCTGCATTCCTTGTGGCCAGTGCCGGAGGCCCACTGTGATCTTGGACAGGCCACTCTGACAAAGGGCACTAACCTGAGCAGCTGCAGCCTGTCCTGTCAGCTCCCTGGGCCTGTGACCAGGTCCCTGCCTCGTGGGAGGACACTCCGAGACCATCTGGTCCAGCCCCTCATCCTGCCCCTGAGCCCCTAGGCTCAGAGAGGAGGTATGGCCGGTGGGGACAGCTGGGATGGACCCCCTGGTCCCCCAGTTTCCATCTTGTGGTGGTGGAAATGCAGAATCACAACATAAACACCTGCTGGTGCCTGAGGGCCCTGCAGGGGAGTGAGATGCAGACAACCCCAGATCATTTCTCCCTGGCCTTGGCTGGCCCAGAAAGTGGTAGGTTTCCAGTAGCTTTGCCATCCTGAGCCTGTTTTATTCAGACTAAGGTGAGTTTGCTTTTTCTGAGCATGTGCCCTGCCCTAGCAGAGAGAGAAGGAGCAGCCAGCTTCACCCAGGGGATGCCAAGGCAGGCATTAAAGCTGGGCTCTCCCTGTCCCAGGAGGCGTGTGGCTTCCATGCCCTGCCACCTCCCAGGATCTGCAACCACTGGATGTAACCTGAGCCTCCATCCTGGGCCAGCCTCCCTCCACCCTCTGGCTTCTGGGGTCCCCACTAGTGGTACTGTGTCCTGGCTTTGTCCCAGGAGGCTAGTGCACCCCTGTCTCACCCTGGCTCCTGACCATGACCCTAACTCTGAGGGTCTAGGAAGTAGCGACCTGCTTCCTTTCCTTTGCTTCACTCAAACTAGAAGCACCAGGGCCAGCAGGTCTCACGTGGAGCCCCTACGGGGAGGACTGAAGAGGCAGCAAAGAGCTCTGGGGCTAGACGAACCCCATCTCCTAAGGGCTGTGTGTTGTTGGGAAATGCCCCTAGCTCTCCAAGCCTCGGCACCCCCGTTTATGAAGGAGTTAATAACGCCACCTGTCTCCCGACGCTTCTATCAGGATTATGTGAGGCAATGCCTGGAAGCTCTTCGTAGGGACAGTGGGGCCCCCATCAGACTGACTGCCACCACTCGCAGGGCCAGCAGGGATGGCAGCGGGCAGCTTCAGGCCCGGAACAGCTCAGTGAGGCAGGAGGAGTTCTTCCTGCTGGGAGAGCTTGGAAAAAGGTTGAAAAATCTGTTCCCAGAGTAGCTGAAAACGCTAGACTCATTGCCATCCACCCCGGACAGCAAACGGACAACAGAATTCGAATGCAACAAGCAGAAGACAAACATAACAGGACTTTCAAGCCCGAATAGACACACCTAGTGCTGGACTGCTCTTGAGAGTCACGAGATGCTCCCCCACCAGCCCCCTGCCCGTCCTCAACCACCCCGTGAGGCAGCAGCATCATTCAGCGTAGAGATGAGGAAACAGGAGCAGAAAGGGGCAGAGAGGGGCCTCAGGGCACACGGCAGGGGCAGAAGCAGCTCTCCAGTCTCCAGGCTCCAGACCCCAGACCCTCCTCTTCTGCCATCAGACGCACTGTGCCAGACTTGAGGGTAAAAGCCAGGAGGAGCTGTTTCTAAATCTCTCCCTGTATATTGTCTTGCTTGACTCCCCCTCCATCTTGGAGGTATGGGGCTGGCATCATTGCCTCCATCTTACAGATAAGGAAACTGAGGCTCAGGTCCAAGTACACCAGCTACTGAGTGGCATGACTGGGCCTGGAGCCCACATGCACAGACATTAGGGAAATGCAACCTCCCCCCGCCCCGGCTTGATGCCAGCACTCTCTGCCCCTCCCTGCCCCTGCCTGCTAGTCAAGGGGCTCCTGGACAAACACTACTTCTTCTGCGGGAAGCGCTCTGCTTCATCCCCAGGGGGCAGCTGTGTCATGGCCGGAAGGACTGCACCTCAGGCGAGGACGAGCTGCCCTGTGTCAAGAGCTTCCCAGATGGGCCTCCAGTGGCAGGTTGGGTGCAGGGGGCAGGCACACCAGTGACCCAGCCCAGGACCCCTGGTCCACTGTGCAACCTCCCCCCGCCTCTGCCAACTGACTGGTCTGTAAGTTTCCCGAGAACAGGACCACGCCTTGTCTACCAGATCCCCGGTACCTAACACACAGCAAACAGTAGATACAGGATAAACAAACGTGGACCAGAGGGGTCAGGAATGTAACTGAGCCTGCCCATTCCTGCAGCAACTGGGTGGAACTGAGGCAGGGGGCTGGATTGGACAATCTCAGGGAGTTCCCTCCTTTCTATGAAATCTGCTATTTCAATGGAACTAGAAAAGTGACTGTGAGGCCATTTAGCAGCCATTGACCCCTCTCTTCCTAAGGTAAGTGTTTGCTGTAATGAGCTATGTAATGCACGCAGGTATGTGAGCCAGGCCAGTCTCGAATTCCAAAGGACGGGAGATGTTTCAAACCTAAACACTCACGCTCTTTCTTGGTCTGGACTTGCCCAGCTTGGCGCACCCAGTAGTTGGGCTCTGAAGAGAAAAGATGGCCCAGGAGTGGGTGTCAGGGGTTTTCGAAGGGCAAGACTAAGAGCCTGCTATGTCCTGGCTTTGTCCCAGGAGGCTAGTGCACCCCTGTCTCACCCTGGCTCCTGACTGTGACCCTAACTCTAAAGGTCTAGGAAATAGCAACCTACTTCTTTTCCTTTGCTACAGTCAAACTAGGAGCAGGGCATATTTGCTCCAGGGTATTTGCTCTTCTTTTATCAGAAGCCAAATGCTGAGGGGCACTTTCCCCCCTGCTGCCGGAGCTCAGCCTCCCACTCTGACCTTACATGGAAAAGGAGCTGGATCTGACACTGAGAAGGCCCCTGGCAGGGCAAGCTGCGTGCACCGCAGACAGAGTGACCATATAATATGCCATCAAAACTGTTACCCATAAGAACAAAGGGGAGCTATTAATGATTATGCCAGGGCAACAGGTCAAAATGGAGATTCCCCCCAGGACATCTGGTCACCATAGCTACCATCAGAAGGAGGCTGAATCTGGTAAAGCCAACTGGAGGAACTTGCCTTGAGGTTGAAAGGGTGTTCGGTGATGCTCCCCAGGTCTGGGGCGGGGAGCTTGGGCTGGCCTCATGATGAATTCTGAGGGCAAAGGGCCAGTTGGGCCCCTGGCACTCAGCCGACCCAGGTTCCTCCCCCACAGTCGGCCTCTCCAGGAACCGGTCCACGCTGCAGGTGCTGGACCCAGCCGCCAGGAAGTGGGCCTCGGCCTGTTTCAACAACTTCACAGAAGCTATGGCCAAGACAGCCTGCGGGCAGATGGGCTACGACAGGTACCCAGCAGCGGCTCTGGAAGCTGTCCCCTCACCCCTGTGACTCCCTCCGTCTCTTCCTCCCATCCTCCTTCTGCCTTCTTCCCCCTTTCCTTTCTGCCTCCCTCCTTCTTTCCTAAAAACATAGATACTGGGAGTCAGGCAGCTCTCTGAATGCAAGTACGTTCACTTGCAAGCACCCTGAGTTCAATCCCCTGAGCCTCAGTTTCCTCAAGATCCCAGGAGGATCATGCCATGCCTCCGCCCACCAACACGCACGCACGCACGCACGCACGCTCGCACGCTCGCACTCACACCGTTCTGGCTCCTTTGCAAGCCTCTCCTTAATCCTCACTCCTTCCCGGCTTTGCAAGGAGCCATCCCTGTCCCAGAAAACAAAAGTCTCACTGACTTTTTCAAAGCCTAGTGGTTAAACTTTAGTGTAAACAAACCTGATTTCACTGGGGTCCATCAGCAACCCTAGCTTTCTCAGCACATTTCAAAGCAGTTCCCAACCTCCAGTGGTTGCAGTGGTATTTACAGTAAGGGTAATTAGCATTACATGTTTATATTCATTTGATCTTGGCAAAAACCAAAAAGGCAGCTATTACTATATCGGATTTAGAATCAGGTTTAGAAAATAAGTGACTTGCTTGGGTAGCAGCTCTGCTGGAGAGAGTCCTGGAACATGTGCCGAGACCCCCTGTTCCTGGGCACCAGAGGGCCTAGCAGCGTCTCTGTTTTGAGGTTGGATTAATTCTCTCTTCTCCCAAGGCTTCATCTAAAAAGACAAGGGAGATGAGGCAGTTGATCACTCAGCCTAAGGGGAGAGGACGGGAAGGAACCCATGTGTTCAGTTGCAGAGTGGGATAACCGCCCCCTGGCAGGCCCAGACTTCCTCAGGATACTAAGAAACTGGGCCCAAAGACAAGGCAGAAGTGAGAAACACGAGGCAGGCATCTTCAGTCAATCACAGAACTCTCTCCCTTCCACCCCTAAAGCAGCCTCAAGGTCCTCTTTCAATAAATGCTCTAGGCAACCATTGCTGAGCCATCAGACCCCTTGGCGCCGTCTGCTCTGGTTATCAACCTTCCGTTGTCTCTACTCGCCAAGGAGTGCGGCTCCCAGGGCCCTCTGGAGAGGACAGCCCTGCCACCTTCATGTTCAAGGAGAGCTGGGCAGGCACGCCCTGCCCCTGCCCTTCTCGCATCCTCTGGCAGCCACCCTAGCCCCTCCTCCCACTGCAGTCCAGCCAGCTGCAGCGTCAGCAGGACCCGGGCTGCAGCGTGATTATGAAACTGGGGTGTCTGCAGGGGTTCTTAAGGTAATAGGCTCCTGGCATTTCTGTCCTTCCTGGGCTCACTAAGGCACAATCCCACCTGGCTCTAGAGCTCTACAAATTCAGAGCTGGTCAGAATTATTCATCAGGATATAACTGGTGTACAGAGGTCAGCTTTCCTGGGACTGTCCATGTCTACCACGGTCCCTCTTTCTGGGTCTCAGGTTTCTCTACTTTCCTTTCTCTGTCTGGAGAGGAGGCCCTTGCTGTCCCAGGTCCACAAAGCCCTAGATGGTTCAAGGTAGGAGGGACTCCAGAGATCATTTGGCCCACCCATCATTTTATAGAGGGGAAAATTGAGGCTTAGAGGGACCTAGAGAAACACTGTGACCTGCCAAGGTGACACACCAACCTAGTGTCAGAGCTGGGACAAGAAGCTTGGTCCTGAGAGCTCGTAACACAAAATGCAGCCANTGCCAGCACTCTCTGCCCCTCCCTGCCCCTGCCTGCTAGTCAAGGGGCTCCTGGACAAACACTACTTCTTCTGCGGGAAGCGCTTTGCTTCATCCCCAGGGGGCAGCTGTGTCATGGCCGGAAGGACTGCACCTCAGGCGAGGACGAGCTGCCCTGTGTCAAGAGCTTCCCAGATGGGCCTCCAGTGGCAGGTGGGTGCAGGGGGCAGGCACACCAGTGACCCAGCCCAGGACCCCTGGTCCACTGTGCAACCTCCCCCCGCCTCTGCCAACTGACTGGTCTGTAAGTTTCCCGAGAACAGGACCACGCCTTGTCTACCAGATCCCCGGTACCTAACACACAGCAAACAGTAGATACAGGATAAACAAACGTGGACCAGAGGGGTCAGGAATGTAACTGAGCCTGCCCATTCCTGCAGCAGCTGGGTGGAACTGAGGCAGGGGGCTGGCTTGGACAATCTCAGGGAGTTCCCTCCTTTCTATGAAATCTGCTATTTCAATGGAACTAGAAAAGTGACTGTGAGGCCATTTAGCAGCCATTGACCATTTACTTCCTAAGGTAAGTGTTTGCTGTAATGAGCTATGTAATGCACGCAGGTATGTGAGCCAGGCCAGTCTCGAATTCCAAAGGACGGGAGATGTTTCAAACCTAAACACTCACGCTCTTTCTTGGTCTGGACTTGCCCAGCTTGGTGCACCCAGTAGTTGGGCTCTGAAGAGAAAAGATGGCCCAGGAGTGGGTGTCAGGGGTTTTCGAAGGGCAAGACTAAGAGCCTGCTATGTCCTGGCTTTGTCCCAGGAGGCTAGTGCACCCCTGTCTCACCCTGGCTCCTGACTGTGACCCTAACTCTAAAGGTCTAGGAAATAGCAACCTACTTCTTTTCCTTTGCTACAGTCAAACTAGGAGCAGGGCATATTTGCTCCAGGGTATTTGCTCTTCTTTTATCAGAAGCCAAATGCTGAGGGGCACTTTCCCCCCTGCTGCCGGAGCTCAGCCTCCCACTCTGACCTTACATGGAAAAGGAGCTGGATCTGACACTGAGAAGGCCCCTGGCAGGGCAAGCTGCGTGCACCGCAGACAGAGTGACCATATAATATGCCATCAAAACTGTTACCCATAAGAACAAAGGGGAGCTATTAATGATTATGCCAGGGCAACAGGTCAAAATGGAGATTCCCCCCAGGACATCTGGTCACCATAGCTACCATCAGAAGGAGGCTGAATCTGGAAAAGCCAACTGGAGGAACTTGCCTTGCGGTTGAAAGGGTGTTCGGTGATGCTCCCCAGGTCTGGGGCGGGGAGCTTGGGCTGGCCTCATGATGAATTCTGAGGGCAAAGGGCCAGTTGGGCCCCTGGCACTCAGCCGACCCAGGTTCCTCCCCCACAGTCGGCCTCTCCAGGGACCGGTCCACGCTGCAGGTGCTGGACCCAGCCGCCAGGAAGTGGGCCTCGGCCTGTTTCGACAACTTCACAGAAGCTATGGCCAAGACAGCCTGCGGGCAGATGGGCTACGACAGGTACCCAGCAGCGGCTCTGGAAGCTGTCCCCTCACCCCTGTGACTCCCTCCGTCTCTTCCTCCCATCCTCCTTCTGCCTTCTTCCCCCTTTCCTTTCTGCCTCCCTCCTTCTTTCCTAAAAACATAGATACTGGGAGTCAGGCAGCTCTCTGAATGCAAGTACGTTCACTTGCAAGCACCCTGAGTTCAATCCCCTGAGCCTCAGTTTCCTCAAGATCCCAGGAGGATCATGCCATGCCTCCGCCCACCAACACGCACACACGCACGCACACATGCATGCACGCACGCACGCACGCTCGCACTCACACCGTTCTGGCTCCTTTGCAAGCCTCTCCTTAATCCTCACTCCTTCCCGGCTTTGCAAGGAGCCATCCCTGTCCCAGAAAACAAAAGTCTCACTGACTTTTTCAAAGCCTAGTGGTTAAACTTTAGTGTAAACAAACCTGATTTCACTGGGGTCCATCAGCAACCCTAGCTTTCTCAGCACATTTCAAAGCAGTTCCCAACCTCCAGTGGTTGCAGTGGTATTTACAGTAAGGGTAATTAGCATTACATGTTTATATTCATTTGATCTTGGCAAAAACCAAAAAGGCAGCTATTACTATATTGGATTTAGAATCAGGTTTAGAAAATAAGTGACTTGCTTGGGTAGCAGCTCTGCTGGAGAGAGTCCTGGAACATGTGCCGAGACCCCCTGTTCCTGGGCACCAGAGGGCCTAGCAGCGTCTCTGTTTTGAGGTTGGATTAATTCTCTCTTCTCCCAAGGCTTCATCTAAAAAGACAGGGGAGATGAGGCAGTTGATCACTCAGCCTAAGGGGAGAGGACGGGAAGGAACCCATGTGTTCAGTTGCAGAGTGGGATAACCGCCCCCTGGCAGGCCCAGACTTCCTCAGGATACTAAGAAACTGGGCCCAAAGACAAGGCAGAAGTGAGAAACACGAGGCAGGCATCTTCAGTCAATCACAGAACTCTCTCCCTTCCACCCCTAAAGCAGCCTCAAGGTCCTCTTTCAATAAATGCTCTAGGCAACCATTGCTGAGCCATCAGACCCCTTGGCGCCGTCTGCTCTGGTTATCAACCTTCCGTTGTCTCTACTCGCCAAGGAGTGCGGCTCCCAGGGCCCTCTGGAGAGGACAGCCCTGCCACCTTCATGTTCAAGGAGAGCTGGGCAGGCACGCCCTGCCCCTGCCCTTCTCGCATCCTCTGGCAGCCACCCTAGCCCCTCCTCCCACTGCAGTCCAGCCAGCTGCAGCGTCAGCAGGACCCGGGCTGCAGCGTGATTATGAAACTGGGGTGTCTGCAGGGGTTCTTAAGGTAATAGGCTCCTGGCATTTCTGTCCTTCCTGGGCTCACTAAGGCACAATCCCACCTGGCTCTAGAGCTCTACAAATTCAGAGCTGGTCAGAATTATTCATCAGGATATAACTGGTGTACAGAGGTCAGCTTTCCTGGGACTGTCCATGTCTACCACGGTCCCTCTTTCTGGGTCTCAGGTTTCTCTACTTTCCTTTCTCTGTCTGGAGAGGAGGCCCTTGCTGTCCCAGGTCCACAAAGCCCTAGATGGTTCAAGGTAGGAGGGACTCCAGAGATCATTTGGCCCACCCATCATTTTATAGAGGGGAAAATTGAGGCTTAGAGGGACCTAGAGAAACACTGTGACCTGCCAAGGTGACACACCAACCTAGTGTCAGAGCTGGGACAAGAAGCTTGGTCCTGAGAGCTCGTAACACAAAATGCAGCCAGACTCCAGTCCTCTCAGGCCCAATGCCTGGGAGCGCCAGCAAGTACCAGCGGCCAGTCAGCCACTGCCACTAGTTGACTCAGGTAAAGAGCTTGTACTGGCATGACTGGGTGGGGAAGGGTGAGGGAGACGGGAAAGAGGCAGACTGAGTAAAGGAATAATCAGAGAGACAGGGAAGGAAGGTAATCAGGGAAGCCTGCCTGGAGGAAGGTAATCAGGGAAGCCTGCCTGGAGGAGAGAAGACTTTAACTCAGGTTTTGAAAGAACACAAACAAGGATTCGCAGAGAGAAAGAGGGAGGGTGGTCCAAGTGAGAGCAATGCTTGTCTGGACTAATGGGAGGAATGACATTGGCCTGTCCTCTCTCCAGTGGGGCACAATTCACTGCCAAATTCAGAGCAGACGCCTTGTTTGGAGGACCCAGTATGCACCCTCCAGCTCCCCCCAAGATGGGGGGCAGCTAATGCAGGTCTCTCTGCCCCTGGTTCCCTCGCTGTGAACCAGAAGAAACCACTGGACATTTGAAATAGGAACTGGTCCCCTATGGAAAGGGGACCCCTCCCATTGCTCCAGAGCTCTGGGTCCTGGCCCAGGCTGCCCTGCCTGAGAAAGCAGGGCCACGTCGGCACTGTGCCAGGGCTGAGCCACAGGGTGCCCAGGGAGCCACCCTGGATAGAGAGCAGAGCAGGCACCGCCCTCCTGACCAGCACTGCCTGCACAGCCCCCCACACCCCCTGGGCGTTCCCTGCCACCCCGTCCCCGGGGAGCGGGGGCTACTCCTACCATCCCTTCTAACCTCCTGCTCCAGCTCACAATTTTGTTTTTCTCTTGCTTGACAGCAAACCAACCTTCAGCGCCGTGGAGACTGGCCCAGACCAGGACCTGGATGTTGTTGAAATCATAGAGAACAGCCAGGAGCTTCAGGTGCGGGACCCAAGGGGGTAAGTGAGAGGCCGCAAAGCAGGGCCTCTGGGCAGCCTGCCCGGAGCAGGTGCAGCGAGGGGCGTGCTGAGCCAGACAACGGAAGGGCTCCTAGCCGGGCACTCACTAGACACCCAGAGCTACAGAATCACACGTCCAAGAGATTTTCTGTGCTGACTCTTTTTTTTTTAATACAATGGACAGCTGGATACAGGGTGCTGGCTGCCTGTGGGTGGCTTCTCATCAGTAAAAAAGCAAAGCTGAATGTCTTTCCTTCTGACTGCCGTATGTTCCCTGTCATGCCAATAGGCAAGATTCCAAAGGCCGCTTTGTCCTTCCCTGACACCCAGACCAGAGTAAGACCTCTCTGCATTCCCAGTGGCCTTTGCTGGTGGCCTGTTCCTAGTTCTCATGGCCGTACAGGAGTCTGGCAGCTCAGTGAAAACGGCCACCCTGCAGCAGAGGGTGACACTGGCTTCTTAGACTGCAGGGAAGCTGCTGAGGGCTGCTTAGTCATCAAAGACTAAAGCTCAAAAAGGACGGGATGGGAACAGAATGATCGTTTGCCTGGAATTCCACCAAAATCCCATTGCTTTTCTGTTTGGAAAGCCCGCAGGGCAGGGGCCACTGCTCCAGGCTCTGCTCTCTCCCCTCTCGGGCTGCCAAGTGCCCGGTATGGGCTTTGACACGGGCAGGCCCAACACATAGTAGGTGCTTCATTAGTGGGGATGTTGAATCAAATCAAACGGAATCAAACTGAGCTCAGAGGTAATGCAGTTTTTACACAGTCCCCACCGTGCAGGGTCCGGGTTTGGCAGGTGTTGGGAGGGGACTGGAATCCATAGTACCAGGAGACCCGAGTCCCTGCCTCCCAGCCAAGGGAGAAGCAAAAGCCACAGGGCCCCTGTGCCTCCCTCCCAGACCCTGTCTCTCAGGCTCCCTGACTTCTCTGCAGTGCCTCGGTGAGCACGCCCCATCTCCGAGGGCTTGGGTCCTGGGCCAGTAGGAGCAGCAAGCCCTTCACCCTCATCCCCAATCTCTCCGACTCTAAGATTTACTCTGCTGTGTCCCAACCTAACTTCTCGGGCCTCGGGCTTGCGGATCGATGCTCCTTCAAGTGGCCAACATTAAGAACTCCCTCCTGCCACCCCCGCACAGCCCCACAATCAGTGCAGAGACCTGGGGGTGAGAGTAGGAAGACTGGAAAGGGCAGGACTGGGCTTCCACCCCCTCCCAGCCTGGCCAGGGCCCACATGACCTCCTCTGTCACAGCTCAGTTACCCAAGGTGGGACTGTCCACCTCCAGTTCTGCAAAGACATACTGAACAGGTAGGATGTGTCTAGCACTGTCAGGTGCTGGCTAGAAGTAGAAAAGACCAGAACAGTAACAGAACTGGCCACTATCCTCAGGAGCTCATGACTGAGCAAAGAGTGAGATGCAAGCCCACATGTGGGAAGCACCAGGATGAATAGACGTGACAGCTGACATGCTGCCCAGAGGTCAGGAGACCTGGGCACTAGTCCCACTGGCTTCCAGTGTGACCTTGAGTAATTCACCTGACCTCTCTGAGGTTCATTTCTGCAAGAAGCCCTTTAGTCCAAGTGCCCAAGAGGATTCTGGGAGACCCCCCAGCTCTAACAGAAGAGATCAGAAGAGAACCAACCTCAGAGAACTGAGCAGAGCCTGGAAGGATGGCCAGACCCCGGGCAGCCTGCTAGGAGGGTCACCATCACTGCCCATGCAGTTCAGCCGTATATATGCTTCCCGATTGGTTGTAAGGCTTTTAATCAGCATCATGTGCCCCCTGCCAAAGCTAGGTATGGTGGCTCATCAATGAATGAATGAATGAATGGTCACATCACCTGATGTCTGTGTTGAATAGCACCAAAGTCACAAACTTAAGTTACTGGCCCTTCCCTGAGGAGCCTTCAGTCTCACTGAGAAGACAAGACCCTAGCAGGACAACAATGAGAGGCGGGCCAGCACCCAGAGCAGACTACGGAAAATGCCCAGGGATCAAGGGTCCTGGAGGTGGCGTCCAGGCTAAGCACTGAACAGTGAACTGTAGGCCACAGGAGGGCAGGGACAATGTCCATCTCCATCCTGTCCACCGCTCCCTCCCCCAGCATCCCTGAACACAGTTGGCACTCAATACCAATTCGCCGAATGAATCAAGGACTTAGATAAACTAGAGAGGAGACAGCATCTCAGGGACAGGGGCTGCCCAGAGCCAAAACAATGACTTTTTAGGGAACTGCAAGAAGATAGATTTGGCTCAACAGAAACCTTATACAAGAACAGACAGCCGGAGGAGGAATTTAAACTCTACCCCAAAAAAGACGGGTGCCGAGGAGCTTTGAGTGGGTAGGTGAGGTGACGTGTAGAAAGCAGCGTTTGGAATTAGGTGGCACTCAGAAAGGCTAAGGACAGGGTCAGGAGGTGGGGCTGGACGTTTCCATGGGCTCAAGGGCCACAGGTGGAAGCCAGGACAGTGGGATGTGAGAGGAAGTGGGGGTGGTGGGGATGAGGCTCCGAGAGAGGTGAGTGTAGTGGGGGAGATCCCATTTCGGGAGCTTCCTTCCCTCCTCCTTCTCCCAAAACAGCCACGGGTGTCGTCTGTGCACTGTTACTCAGCAGGAGCATGGGGACACTCCCCCTGGGCGACTTTGGTAATTCTGCATCACTGGTTTGAAGGTCATGAGTCCCCAGCCCCATGGACACGCCCATGTTCACAATATAAACTCGACATATGTGAAGCTGAAAAAGGAGAAGGACTTTGGGAGAAAGCGCCACACCTCCCTATGAATGACTCCGAATAGGCCTGCCTGCTCCGCCCCACCCTCCAGGCCGCAGTCCTGGGGCCCTGCTCAGGACAGTTCTTGGGCTCTAGGGGAAGGCAGCCATCCGCCCCAAGCCTGACCTCCCCTTTCTCCCTCCTTCCCACTGACTCCAGCCTGCGGGCAGAGCCGGAAGGCCCCTCGGGTGGTGGGCGGGGAGAAGGCCTCTGTGGAGTCTTGGCCCTGGCAGGTCAGCCTCCACTACAACACTCAGCACATCAGCGGAGGGGGCATCTTGGACGCCCGCTGGATCCTCACGGCAGCCCACTGCTTCAGGTAAGGCCTCGGGGGCAAAGCCATGGAGGAGACAGCGCCCGGGGCCCCAGCCTCCAGCCTGGGTTCTGACACCCACTTTACTGTCCCTGTGAAGACCACCCACCAGGGTGTGGCCTCCCCAGTGCGCATGGACATGATGTCCTTTGTTAGGAGCAGAGGGTGGTTGCCAACCTTGACCTCTTCCAAGTGGGAAGCCATCAGATACCCAATGTCCTCAGCTCACTCCCACATCATCCACTCCACAGATGCTCTTCCCATCTTCCTGGAGCCCGAGAACTCTCTCCCTCTTTGCCAGTCTTCTAGGAAGTGGCTCTGAGATCTAGAGTCACCGCCACTCCCTTATTATGTTATTATGTCCAGAAACTTAAGAAAAAAAAAGTATAGCTTCCCTTACAGGCCTGCCCATACCTCTGGGGAAGAAGCACCCCCAAGCCCCTTTCACTTTCATTCATTCATTCATTCATTCATTATCTAATGAGTGCCTATGAGGTACAAAGCACCGTACAATGTTCCCGCGTGCATTAGACCCATCACTGCCTAGAGTAGCTCACAGTCTAGGCCAGTGATGCATAACATTTTTTGAGCATCTGACAACAGGTATAAGTCCTTTCCTGGAAAACCACCCTCACACACTAAGCTGTGTCTGGTGCTGGGAGGAAAAAAACAAGTACGTGACATATCTGACCACAAGCACCACACAAGGAACACAGACAGTAAGAGCATTGCGGGAGAAAGAGCCAGGACCCCAAGTCCAGGCACTGGGAGCAGCCCTCCAGCCCTCCAGTTAGAAGAGTCCTGGGGCAGGTTTCTCTAGGGAACAAGGGTCAAATCCCCTTTTAGAATATGGCCTGTGGTAGGGATTCCTCAGACTGTCCCACCTCCACAGCCCTGACCCCCTCCATCATTACCCCCTGAAGCAGGGCCAGTGTCCCATCCACAGGGCCCTGGGGACTGAGCCTCTGGCCAAGCTCTTGGGCTTGGCTCAGGCCCGGACCCCACTGTCTGTACCTCCCAGGAAGTATCGCGATGTGCCCAGCTGGAAGGTGATGGCCGGCTCAGACAAACTGGGCAACTTCCCACCTCTGCCTGTGACCGCGATCTTCATTGCTGAGCCCAAGGCCACGTACCCCGAGGAGAATGACATTGCCCTCGTGAAGCTGCAGTTACCGCTCACATTCTCCAGTGAGAGGCGGCGCCTGGGGACAGGTCCCCTCGGGTCACCTCGTACTCCCATTCTGCCACCAGCTGAGTGGCCTTAGACACATCACTGCCCCTCGCAAGACCTCAGCTGCCCATTTGTTTTGGGCCAATGTCTCAGCCTAGTATCACTGATGCAGTGAAGCTGCCCCGAGCTGTCAGCTGACATTCCACCCCACCCACTGCCAGAGATTCTCCTGAGGTCTGTTCTCTCCATGGGGAGCATCTCAAGTGAGAATCATAGATCCACCCAGTCCTGGAGTTATGAGGAACCTAAAAGATCACCTAGTACATGCGCCAGCCCCGACCTATGCCAAGAGCCTGCACAATGCAGTTGCCAGGGGGTCATTGCGCCCATTTGCTCTCCTCCATGGGCAGGAAACTCACTCCTGTCCCAGCAGCCCATAGAACCTTGGAGCAGCTGTGAGGTAACTCAGGCTTTTACTGGGTTGTATTTAGATCAGCCTTTGCAACTGTTGGTTCCATGGAACATTGTTCCCTTGGGGGACAGAGGGTTGTCTTCTCAAATCAGTTTGGGAAACATTTGTATACTATAGCTCTCTTCTTGGAGCACATTAGTATATGTAAGATATGAGAAAATTTTTTTGATTTTTAAAAGAATTTGTTGTATTGTATTTAACCCATATTTTCTAAGCTTGACCACAGAACCCTTTTTCTTGTGCCACTTTATTAACGTCCCATGCAGCATGTGTAACAGAAACCCTGGGGCCAGCTTTGTCAGGGGGCTCAGCCACCGGGCCCTCCTGAAGCTTGGGTCCCCTCTTCCTCTCTGCTCCTGGCAGGCACGGTCAGGCCCATTTGCCTGCCCTTCTCTGATGAGGTGCTCGCGCCAGCCACCCCACTCTGGGTCACTGGATGGGGCTTTACAGAGCAGAATGGAGGTAAGTTCTGGACTCAAGCCACGGGACTGAGGGAACAGCTCTGGGAGGTGATGGGAAGGAGGACCATCCTTTGGAAAAATCCATCCCAGTCCAAGCATCAAGGTGCCAGGCAAACCCGGAGAATTATCCTGGGCTGGCAGTAGAAGGCAAGAGGCATGTGAGCATGTTTTCAACCCCCAGGGAAGATGTCTGACACACTGCAGCAGGTGTCAGTCCAGGTCACTGAGAGCTCTCGGTGCAATGCAGAGGACACGTACCAGGGGGAAGTTACCGAGAAGATGCTGTGTGCAGGCATTCTGGAAGGCAGCGTGGACGCCTGCCAGGTGGGGCCTCTGAGGCTCCTGAGGCAGTGCCAAGGATAGGGCTGCTGGTCCTCGAGAGATGGGAAAGTGCAGAGGCTGGGTGCCCTATGGTGGGCACCCAAAGTGTGATGAAGGGAGGAAGGAAGAGGGGAAGGAAGGAAGGACTGTCGACAAGTTGTAAGGATGGATGGATGGATACAGGGATGGAGACAAGCAGAAAGATTTCAAATATGCATCTCACATACGAGGATGATGTCGCCCGGTGTGCCTCTTACTTTCCACCATCTGCAGGAGTATGAGGCCCTTGAGGGCAGGAACCCCAAGGTTTTCTCTGTAACTGTCGCCAAGCTACTGAACGACACTAGAGAAAACTCATCTCCTGTGGACAAGCCCTGGGCAGGGTCCCTCAGGCCAGCCCACTGGCCAGTCCCTGCTTCACTCTCACTCCCAGAGGACCTGCTGAGCCATTTTCACTGAGCTCCTGTCCCTACTTCTGCCCCCATTCTGTCATTAAATTCCCTCACTCAGAAGGCACCTCTTGATGCCAGGTAAACGCCGAGCCTCGGGGACCATGTCACGCAAGGAGCTCACACCGTTAGGCTGGGAGGTTCCTGGGCTCTGAGGGAGGGAGCGGCGCGGACTGCAGGAGCAGGAAGGAAGGACACCCGCCAAGGGTGCTGTCCTCCGTCTGACTTTTTCTTGTCTGTTCTGTTGTTTGCTTGTTTATTGTCTCTCTTCTCCACTTGATTCTAAGCTCCCGGAGAGCAGGGGGCTTTGTTCTTTCCATCACTTAAATCCCAACTGTCTAGAACAATTAGGATTTTGTCTAGGCAATTAGAACAATTGTCTAGAACAATTTCCTGGCACAAAATAGGCACTCTGTAAGTGGTTAAATAAATGTGGGGAATACTAGGTTAGAGAATGATCATCGGGTTTCCTTACTGCAGAACCCCAAGGAGTCTTCAATTTGCCAGTGTGCGTGTGAATCTGAGAGGGCTGACAGTACACACACCGCTTACTTGGCCATGGACAGAACCCTTTTGCCCCCAAGGGGAAGGGCCTTCCAGGCTGCAGGAACAGCACGAGCAAAGGGGAGAAGGCAGGGCGGCCTCGAGCAGGGGAAGAGGCGGGCCGCCACAGGAACGAGAAGCGGCCCACTGCCCCACCCCATGCCCGCCTGCGCTCCTCTGCAGCCCCTGCCCTGGCCTCCTGCAGGGGGACTGCGGTGGACCCCTGATGTATAACGCTGAGCAGTGGCAGGTGGTGGGCCTCGTGAGCTGGGGCCATGGCTGTGGGGCCCCGAATAACCCGGGGGTATATACCAAGGTCACAGCCTATCTCAACTGGATCTACAGTGTCCGGAAGGTGAGTCTGTTCGCCCTCCCCACCTTCCTGTGTCCTGGAAGTACCATCCCATCCTCAGGCTTGATTTAAATGTCTCAGAGACAACGCATTACATTCCCAGTGATTCCCCTTACTGGTAAGTGACAGCCTAATAGGCAACCATTAAAAGCTGAAATTCCTCAGATCAGAGGTTCCCATTAAGTGCAAATACCTTAGGGTATTAAACACACCCAGCTTTACCACTCTCTAGTCTATCAGAATGGGACTAGATGGGAGAATGAGACTATCAGACACTTTCCAGAGAACTGACTCTTATAAAGAAGGTGGAAAGGTCCATGAGACCTCCCTGGGGGGTGGGAAAAAAAAGCTTCAGAAAAGGTAGATTCATTTTGCGCACCCACGACTTTGTCCAGTTTCAAATCATCTGATTCTCGCTTTGTTTGTCTCTTATTCTAGTCGAACCCGTGAGGATGCTGCCCCTGTGCAGCGCTGGGAACTGCTTCTGCACTGCCCTGCCACCTGGGCATCCAGAAGCCAGACCCCCTGGCACACCTCTCTGCCCACAGCCTCAGCATTTCTTCGTGGGCAAAGAGCCTCCCTTCCTTTAAGAGGCCCCACAGGCACCCGGGGGGAAGTCAGCAGCCCCACTTCAGCCACCCTGGTGCTCCCAGCATCCTAAAGAGAGAGAAACACAGCCCACTGAACCAGGCTCGGGCTTCGCAATGCGCACTGAGACTTTCTTACTCTACTGAGCAGAAGTAGATTCTCTGGTGAGAGGCCCGATCACCAAGCACTGGAGTGGAGGTAGGAAAGGGGTGCTTCAGCCCTCTCCCTCACCCATCCCAAGCCCACCCGAGCAAGCAACCAGCTGTAAGGTAAAATGCACTGTCCTGCTGTTGACAAAACTATTGTTACTTACTGTGATTGTTATTGTTCCCTTACGACCACTGTTATTAAACAGGTGCACAAGGTCTTTGACATAAGTTAACTGGGCCGCTCAGTAAGAACTGAGCTAGGGCTATTGACCTACAACCTTGATTCTTCAGCCTGGGTAGGAAAAGGTCCTGGGGAGACAACTGATCCTCAAAGTACAGGGAAAGGGGAGACCAGAAACCAGGAGCTGCTGAGTAGGGGCAACAGTGCCTGCAGACTGGGGAAGCCAGAGAGCCCAAGTCCCCTCCCCACACAGGGCCCTCTCCTGCCTTCCTCCCCTGTGTCCTGTCTGCGAGGCCAGCCATGGGCTGAGGTGACCTGTAACGGGAGGGAGGGAGGTGATTTGGGGACATGAGGCTGACATTAAGTCACAGCTCCCCACGTGGCTGAAAAGAGATATTGTGCCTCTGAGTCCTAACTTTGACCTGGAGCCCACTGGGTGTGGTTTCTTGCAGCCATTAAAAAAAAAAAATCATTTATCACCTAAAGTATGAGGTGGTCCCCAAGCTGGGTTCTGAAGATTTCAGCGTAACTAACTTTCTGCACTCAAAATGTTCAGAGAATGAAGCCCCATAGCCTTACAGAATTTTTTAACTTAAATAAACAGTATAAAACAGCTTCAAAAACTAGTAGAACTACAAGGAGAAATTGATAAATCCACCATTATAGAAGAAGAGTCCAGCATATTTCATTCAACTATCGATAGGTTAAGCAGGTAAAATATTAGTAAAGTACAGGTTAAACTGTACGATCAGCATGCATGATTAACAGACACAGAGAACCTCACTTGGCATTGAAAATAAACACCGTTCCCAAGCACATTTGTAAAAGTTCGACTGCATACATGCCCAGAAAGTAAGTCTCAACACAATTTAAAGTAGTGTGGGCACCCACCAGACCCAGTCTTGTGGTCTCGTCCATTTCTACTCAGCCTTGCCTGCATCCCCGACCCTCTTGCCTCTAGGCTGTAGTCACTGCCTGGCTTCTGGCCTTGAATGGACGCAGCTCAGGCCCCTTTCATTCCCATGGTTCTAAAGCCCCGGCAACTGCCATCACCTCTTCTCTCAACACCGTGCTGGTCCCCACCTCCCACAGGTCAGGGCCAAGCTGTGGCTTGTCTTCATCACATCCACCAAGGTGGGAGGCCCAGTGGCTCCAGCCCCCAGAGCCAGCAGGCCGCACCCGGGCTGCAGTGACAAAACACGGGAATTACCATCTGTGGGAGAAACGTTGAATAGTGGAAGACGAGAGACAGGAAGGAGCCCACAGATGAATTACCCATGATTCTTCCCTGGGTTGGAGCCGCTCAGAGGGGCCCTGGTCCCCCGGGGACAATCCCTGCGCGTCAGCAACCGGTCCCATTGCTTACGCAGCTGCGGTCAGCTCGGTCACACATCACTGTGGGTCTGCTTTCTCCCTCCTGGCCTCACAGCCCTGTTCCCCTCACTCCTGCTTCCCTGGGACTGAGCCCCATTATAAAGTGTTAAGATATAAGCCAAACTTACACAAGTTTTCTAAGAAACTTGACTTAAGACTATCCGATGGATGAAGCCCTCCGGTCGTGATGCTATTCAGTTATAAGGCAATAGCAAACAATAATTTTTAAAACACAAAATATATGCATATGTGATGTTAAAAACATTCTAAATAATTCATAGGCAAAAGACAATAAATTATAGGGAAAAATTTACTTAGAATGACAATGAAAAATATATAGAGATAAATATATATGTGAATGATTTGGGGTGACATTCAGCAGCTAACCTTGAAGTGCTTGTGCTTTTCCTGGATCTGGGCATGAGCAGAGATGGGCTCTCTTTGTGTCTGACATTCCGGACCTAAGTGGTTCTAGCGGGGAGGCCACGATGCAGTCAGGACGGGCCTTTCACAGCAGACCTCCAGTATCTGGAAGACAGGGTGTGGACAGGAGGTCGGTGGGTAGACACGGTCCTCCCCCTTTGTACCAGGAAGAAAGGTTGCTGAGCCCCAGAGGATAAGCCTGAGGAAGAGCATGGCCTGGCTCTCCCAGCTCAGGGTCCAGAGCTTTCCCCATGAGAAGTCCCTCATTACTGACCAGGACAGAACCCCGAGTGCAAACAGGACAGACACCGGGAGAGGAACGGGGGTGCTGGGAAGAGGACCCAGCTGAGCCCTAGCACAGAAGGGGAGCTAGGAGAGAATCATAATATGCAGTGGGGAGCCCTGTAATACAGGTGTATGCAAATGCCACCTGAAATGGAGCTAGGAATCGGCCTGTGCCCCTTCCAGGAGGCGACTCCAGCAGGAGGGGACAGTAAGTACCAACTAATGAGGCAGGAAGAGGCTCTGTGTGAGAGACGAGGACAGAAAGGGACACTGAAAGGAGAGATGTGAGTGACACTGTAGTGTGAAAAGAAAAGAATCTGGTCTTTAGAGGCAGGCGAAAGGAAACTCAAATTTCTGAGTGTGTGTGTTACAAAGGTATGACATAGCTATAAAAGTTCAAACATTACTGAAGGGTTAAAGAGCTAAAAATCCCCCTTCAATTCCCAAACCAATCCTCAATCACCCTCCTCAGAGGCAGCCACTGATCTCAGTGTATGTGTATCTTTTCAGATTCTTTTATACAAATACTTAACATCTCATCCATTCCCTAATCTGTAAAATGGGACTAATAATAATGACTCTTTCTTCATAGGACTGCTGGGAGGATTAAATGACTTAATGCATGCAAAGTACTCCGAGAAGGGCCTGGTCCAGGAAGGATATTTACAGACATCCATACCTGGCTTCCTACTTGTTTGTTTTACAAAATGCACTGGGTTTAAATTCTAGCTCTGCTACCTAAGAAGTATGAGTTTGGGGGAAGTTTTTCTTAACTTCTCAATGAGACAAAAATATGTTGTAGGACAGTGACCAGCAACTCTAGGAATTCAGTTGATATTTGCCTTAGTTGTTACTACAGAGTTGGGGTCCCCTGGCTAGCTCCCAGAGGCCTCCACACTTCTCTTTGGGGCCCTTTTGCAGCCAAAAGCAGAGGAGACCAGTGGGCAGGACAAACCCCTGTTTTTCTAACTCTCCTGCAGACAGTACCAGGGCGAGGACCAGGTTTGGGCCAGGAACTCACACCTGTACTTTTAGACAGGTGCTTTCCAAACCTCACACAAATCACCTGGGAAATTTGCTGCAGTGCAAATTCCAATTCAGGAGATTTGGGGTGGGACCTGCAATTCTGCATTTCTAACAAGCTCCCCGGGGGTGCTCGTGCTGCTGGACTACAGACGACACTTTAAGCAGCCAGGGTCCAGGACTTTGAGCCCTGCCCACACCCCACCTGAAAGCCTTCTACAGATGCTCTGCCTTATAACACCAAAGACCCAGACAGCTGACCTCACTCTGGTCCCAAAGGGCTGCTCTCCCCCTGGGCAGGCCTGGAACATCCTCAGCAACCCCAGGCCTCTGATGATCCCACCCCTTCAAGGAAAGAGGGGAATGTCTAGATTTCCCCCAGAGAATAGCTATAGCCTTTGCTCCCATGGAGCCTATTATACCATATACAATAATAGAGATTTACATATACAATAAATAAGTAAGCAAATATATGTCAGCTAGAAATGAGTGCTTTGAAAAAATTTAGCAATAAGAAGAAAAAAAATTTAGGATAACGAGAAAGTGTTATTGTAGATACAATGGCCAGGGAAATGTTCCCTAAGGAGATGATGTTTGAGCAGAGACGTGATTGAAAACAAGAGAATGAAAGCATGGATTTCAAGGGAAGAGCATTTTAGTAGGGGAACAGCATGTGCAAAGGTCTTAAGAAAGAAGGAGGCTGATATTTGGAGGAAGAGCCAGAAAAACAATGAACCTGGAGCAGAATGAGTCCACAGGAGGGTGTTTGAAAAGAAGACAGCGAAGAGGCGGCTGGGGCCAGAACAAGAGGCCTTCAGGGCAATTGTGAGGCAGGAGCACATAAACTGGAAGCTCCTGAGCAAACGAGTGATATCGTCTCATTTTTTTGTACTTTCTAAAGATATGTACCTACACTGAAACTCACTACTTTTAGTGTACAATTCTGCCAGTTTTGACCAACGTGAAGCAAGCAACCACAGCTCCATTGCCCACCGAAAGTTCCCCTTGCCCTTTGGCCTGTCCTTCCTGCTGGCCAGAAACTGATCTGTTTTCTGTCTGTCTTGCCTGAGGGTTTCAGCTCCAGGCAACTTCACTATGGATTCGGGGAGATGGAGAAATAACAATGGAACGTTCTTGGGGTAAAAGGGTTTTATACCTGGATTTATTCTCCTGGCAGTAGGTCGTGCACTAGAATCAAGTCGGCATCCAGCAGTCTGCCAGTCTGCAGCTCACCTCTGCTGCTACCGCCGCCTAGAGCCCTGGGCAGAGCTCCTTATACAGTGACTCAGTCGATAATAGCTCATTGCCTACATGTGTGGAAGCAGCAGCCTAGCAGCAGGCCAGTTACATCACCAAGTAGTTCAGGGTCAGGTGAGGACACTGGCCACAGGCACTTCCATTTTCCCCACACTCCCTGTAGTTTTGCTTCTTCCGGGATGTCATGTAAATGGAACTATATAGTCGGTACCTCCTTGAGTCTGAATTCTTTCACTTGGCATAATACATCCGAGACGGTCCCTTTTGGCACATGGAACTTGTTACGGGAGAGTACACCACAGTACGGATCTACAACAGTTTGTCCATCCACTCACCAGCCATACGACGTTCAAGTTGTTTGTTGTTTTTAGCAATGACCAAATACTTCTACAAACCGTTGTGCATAGGTTTTTATGAGACCATAGTATTCATGAAGTTGTTCTGACAAAGACAGGGGAACAGGAGATGGAGTTACTCGCCCATCTGAAACAACTCAAAAAGTAGATGAAGAGCAAAATGGTTTTCAGACACAGAACTTGAGGCAGCAGAGGACAAACAAGGGAATAACAAGGGAAATAAGTCCAGTGACTGCTGCTGTCCAGGGAAGGGGACTCAGCAGAGCCTGGCCGCCTCCTGGACTCCAGGAGAGGGAGGCAGGCGTGAGGGAGGCTGAAGCAGGAAGGGTTCATCCTGCAAAGCCCCCGAGAGGGAGCTCCAGGGGCTGCAAGGGGCCCCCTGGGGTCTTTGGCTTCTGAGCAACGATCCAGGTCGGAAACCACACGAGGTCAAGGAAGACCCACCAGAAAGAATGAGCAAGAGCAATCCCTGGAGGTCACACAGGGCCAGGAACAGGACCACGGCCACAGACCAGAACAGAAAGACTTCATGATTCATGGGAGATGAGGGAGGGTGTCCAAAGGAGGCGCCCTGGGTGAGACCAGGCCTAGACTAAAGGCCGCCCTGTGTCAGTTCCAGGATTATCCTCCTCACACACCCCACTGTCGGCTTTCAGCTAAAGACTTAGGGGTGCGGGACCTGCAGGTCTCTGGCCCCGTGTGTTCTAGCTGCCTTTGCGTCCCTGCACTGCAGCCTGCAGATTCTCCCCGGTCAGTGAATGGGGCCAGTATTAGGGCTCACCCTTACTTCTCCTTCTCAGGAGCCATCATCCTCCACTCCCTGTTGTTCTATGTCTGAAAACCACTATGTCATATATTTTTTCCAGTTTTCTAGTTTTTTGAAGTATGAGAATAAATGGTCCCATCTTAACTGGAAGCAGAGTTGAGATCATTTTTTGTCTTAAAAGGATCCCTCCAGAAACTAGACTAAGGACAGGCAAGGGGAAGCAGGAAAACCAGTGGGGAATCCAGGTGGGCACCTGTCTTTCCAGTGGGTTTCAGCCACTGGCGAGTTCACTCTTGATTCGGTGAGACCAAAAATGACAAGGAGCGTTCTTGGGGTGAAAGGGTTTATACCTAACTTTCTTCCCACGGTGGCAGGTCAGTCACTAGAATCCCGTCCACCCAGAGCAAGTCTGCAGGCAGCAAGCTGGTCTCTGCCTAGCAACCGTCTCAGTCTCTGTCGGTGCTGCCATCACTCCAGCCTCTGCTCTGCTCTGCTCTCCTGCAGCCTTGCAGCCCTGCCACCATGTTGCGCCCAGAGCACTGGGAGGAGCTCTTTTATAGAGTCAATAACAATGTATCGCCCACACGTGCGTAGTGAGCAAGCCGACCAGGGCCACGTGAGAATCCTGGCCACAGGAACTTTCATTTTATCTTCAATGGTAGAGTGAGAACCTGGGCCCCTGAATTTTGAACCCAGAATTGTTCTTTTCCATACCTGCCCTCAGGCAGTTCGGAAGGGAACCCTACATCTCAGCTGTGAGCAGGTCAGTTTTGTCTAAGCGATGAGCTGCGAGGGAACATCCCCCTTCGCCAAGTGAGCTTTCCCTGTTTCGGTGTGTGCAGAATGCCAGAAAGGGGCAGGCTGTGTGCCTGGGGATGTGGGAGCCCTCAGTTGGGAAGATCTTGACCCCTCTCCATCTTTAATCTTAAATCAGCTCCACACTTGACCTGATAACAAGGTTGGAACCAGAGGCCATAATCAAAGTCTCTCAGCCTCTTGCTCTACCCCTCTGAACACTCGCCCGCATTCTCTCCCCCTTGACCTTTCCTCTGTTGCAGCAGCAGTGGTGCAGCCCCACCTGTCTAAGGCCAGTCATCCCACCTGGCCTCTGGGCCCCATCCCCTCAGGTCTCTTCACTCTGTCAGCTACCAAAGCCTTTCTGTCTCTTACCCACCTACTTTTAACCCTGCTTTTATTTTTTCCATCTTAAACAGAAAACCTGCATCTTCCTACGTGGACCCATGTGTTTTCTGTCCTTCAATGCCAAGTTACTTGAAATGGTGACCAACTGACTTCCACACCCTGCGGTCAAGCTTCTGCTGGCATCCCCTTCTGTGGTGCTGGGCTTACTGGGGTCATCTCTGAAAGGACTGACCCTCAGCTTCGCGATGGCCGTCCTGGCCAACGCTCCTTGCTGCCTTGACCTCAGAGGCATCACTCTGCCTTGTGCTGGGCTCCGTCCTCATCAGCCCCCTTTCTGGCCTCCTCCGCCTGCACCCAGCCCCTGAGTGTCATAGCCCAGAGCTCCCTGGGGAGCCCAGCTTTCCTGTGGTCTGAACAGATTACTGACTCCTAAGTTCCAGGCTCCTGTTTGCATCCACTGTTCTGCATCCTGTGGGCAAACTCGACATGTTTGTCAATGAGCTCACTCTCTCCTCCCCACCCACAACGTGCTGCTCTTCCTCCATTCCCTTTCAGGGGGCCCCTACTCATCCCTAAGCACCCAGCCATCCACGGGAGGAGCTTTGAAGCCGGCCATAGCGCCTCTGTCACCTTACCCCCCAAATCAAGCTCTGTGTACCCCACTTCCCAAAACCCTTCACCCCGCCCACTTCCTGCCTTCATCTCTTGCTGGGCAACACGTCAGCCTCCCAGTGTTCACTGGCTCCTGTCCTACCTGCTCCAGCTCAGTCCTATCTCTGCCCTGCTAAAATCTTCCAGGGACTCCCCATTGCCCACCCAATGTAAAACATGAGCCCTCTGGTAGGGCCTACAAGCCGTGCATGATCTGGCCCCGCCTCCCCTGCCCACCACCCAGCCTCCGCATCCCCATCCCCACCACAGCCACTGCTAAACCTCCTGCAGCTCCGGGCACCCCTGCCATCCCACAGATTGCTCTGTGTCTCCCAAACCCACCTTCCTCTTCTCCTGGGCACCCAGCAGCTACGCTTCCCAGCCTCCCTGCGGGGGTGCCTATGGGAAGAATGGGGTCCTCTTCCAGGCCTGGCCCATCAAGCTTCCACCACATCACCTAACTGCTCTCCTTCCCCATCCCCCATCTGCACGGAGAGGAAGCCAAGGACCCGGAGGAGGGCAGAGCACAGAGAAGATGCTAGGCCTCCAAGCGAGACATGGATGGCGGCCCAAGGAGGAGACCCGGATGGGACCATGACACTAGGAGAAGTGAACTCACATCGTGATACGGTTTGGTTTCCGCCCTAGAGACTGTGAAGCTCCCTGAGAGTCTGGTCGGTATCCAGGCCGTTCCGGCGACGCCAGCACCCAGCAGAGCACCTGCTTCAGAACAGGCACTTATGAATGTTTCTTGAAGGAGTCATAACAAGAGCTAATACTACCAGCCATCTATTATATAGTACTTACTATGTACCCAACACTGCTTAATGTGCTTTTACACACATTAATTCATTTAATCCTCACCACACTGTAAGCTAAGTATTGGTATTCTCAGCCCCCATTTTGCAGGAAGTTTTAAGAAAATTAAAAACAGTTCAAGTACTTACTTACCCAAGGTCACACAGATGATAAGTGATGGACCCAGGACTGCCCCAGAGCACAAAGACCACACCACCTTGCCCGGCACCCGCCTGGGAAGGGGTTTGTTCCCTGACAAGACTTGTCTTCAGGGGCAGAGAGAGTGGAAAGGGTGTCCGCAGGCCCCCCCCCCCGTCTGTGCTCATGCCCCCCAAGGGGATCTGCCCTCTGACATGGCCTCTCCTGTTGGTATCTGCGTTTGCACTGATGCCTTCCCCCGGGGAAGCTGAAAGTGGGATTTACGGGCCATCCCCCATGGAGAGGCAGTGTGACCCAGTTTGGGGGTGCTGAATGCAGGAGTGAGGTGAGTCAGCCAAAGACAGGATTTGAAGTTTGGAGAAAAGAAGGAAAATTAGGCCTAAGGGACCTTCCAAAGAAATCACTTCTGTGCCCTTAGAAGTGCAGGCATGGGCCTTTGGGGGTCAGCAAAGCCCCCGTCTCTCTTATGGAAGCAATGGAGGGACAGGAACAGGTTGGGAGGTTGGGGTGGAGGCTTCTAAAGTGACCAGGGGAGGAAGCAGCAACCAGCTGCTTTCCAGGCAGCAGCGGGAATAAGTGGGGGTCAATTCCCGGCCTCCACCCGAGGGCCCTTTTGAAAGGTTGCCTGCACACGTACACACGCTTTACCTTCATTTTCAGCATACAGACTCCTGACATCCATCTGGTCTGTGTGCCCACCACCCGCTCAAATTCAGGGCCTTTTATTTATGTGTGTTTTAGCCCTGGTTGAGTCAGCATGGGGTTCACGGGGTGACCTCCTGTCCAGGTTCACCCGGGACAGTCCCAGTTCCTAAGTTGGTTTAGATGTATCTGGTCTTCTATTCGTTCTAGCGGCTGTTGAGTGGGGAAAGGAAGCAGGGCTGAAACAGAGCAAGGATGGGAGCCATCCGGGCCTTGGGACCAGTGCTTCTATGGGTAACTGCAAGTTCAATGCTCAGCATCACAAGAGTGTTATAAACTCAGACTTGCACCAGAAAATTTCAATATCCAACAGGTCTACAGCTGATGGGAAGGTGCCAGGGGCCCCAGGCAACAGGCAGTACCTGAAGACAGGTGAGTGGTAGCAAGGGGGAAACCAGGTGACAGTTCAGTCAGGGTGGGAGCACAGATCAAGGTCAGTATACCGAGCACTGGGGAGGCAGTGCTGCTGGAGACACCTGCTGAAATTGGGGACCTCCGATGAAGCAAGAAGAGTCTTTGAACAGGATCTTCTGAGTACTTAGTGTTTGAAGCCCTTTGAAATGCAGTCTGAGGCGAATCCATGGAGGAGAGGGCTGGGGTATGGTGAGCAATTGTGGTACGACAACGTCCAAGAATATAAGTGCATGCTTGCACATGCACACAGGCGCACACATACACACAGATACATGTGCACACGGCCCCGATTCCTTGCCAGCCTGGCCTAGCAGCCAGCAGCTGGGAAGTCTTCTGAAGGCAGAGTGATCTATGGGCAATTTACGTCCAAATAATGTCCAGTGGACAACATGAAATGCACATAGGTACAGTCAGCCCTGAGCTAGGAGCCTAACTGTTGCCCCACCCCCACTCCTGGGCAGCCTGTGCCCCAGAACAGCCCAACCAGCCAGGCAAGGCCCAGAGCACCTGCACACTCCAGCCGGCGAGTAGTTTGTGCTTTTCGTCTTTAGGTCGCCCTTGTTCATTTGAAGCTTGTTTCACCGCACCCATGTGTTAACGTGGGGCAGGTGGTGCTGGGGAAGGGGATGTGATGACATTTAGTGGTACCAGATCATTACCAAGGTCATCAGTACAGGAAGGGCCCTGGCAGTGATTCTAATATTAAAGAACCAACCGTCCAACTTCTCCAGAGAAGGTATCAGCACTAACATGACTCGCATGCCTATGGCTATGCCAGGCATTCTTGCACCCTTTACCCTGTTACCTCACCAGAGCAGGTGACACTGTAGACATAGGAGACTGAGGCCCAGAGAAGAAACTTGTCCCAGTTACAGCAGGCAAGCCATAACACCAGACCCCACTCTCACTTAGCCGAAAATGGAAGTCCCAGTCCATTTCTATTAAACATAATTTTTATTTCATCCAAGGCAAAGCTAAATAAAATTCTACAATGCAAAACATGTTAGAAAGGCAGGAGAGTCTGATCACACCTATCCCGTGCTTGAACACAAGTCAGTGCTGGGTGCGTGCACCCCTGCGCCTCCCAGAGGCACCCACGGACCTGAGGCCTCCTCAGGCCGGCTGCTGCACTGCTGAAGCCATAGTGATACAGGAAAACTGACTATGGGTATTGTTGTCTTCCCAGCCAGAGGAACAAACCATGCATAAGATAGTCAAAAGCACTGAATATCAGGGGGGAGGGGGGAGGGGGAGGACCCCAACCTGAGGCGAAGCAAAGGGAAGCTGAGCTCTGGGATTTCCCCAGAAGTCCCCCCTGCTCTCCTTCCCCCCACCCGGCAGCTGTCCCGTAACAATGAGAGGGAGGCATGGGGCAAGGGAACCAAGAACACGGCTGGTCTGCCCCTCTGTCCTTATCCTTTCTCAGCCTCCAGGGCCCCCAACAGGTCTAGCTCAGGCCAGGAAAGATGGCTCCCAAAATGTGCAGTCTGCCCGGTGTCAGGCACACTCAGCCTTTACACACACTCACACCCCCTCCTGTGTGCAGCCACCTGCTCCACAGGCATGTGTCCCTACACGCACACGCCACAGCCACAGAACACACATGCACACCCCCACTGGCCACCATCAGGAGCATGCTCTCTGCTTGGCCACCAGGTCTGGTCAGCCAGCCAGGGGTGAAAAGTCCCTTGAGCTGCACTGACCCCTCTCCAGGCCTCTCTAGCATCCCACGTTCATCCTGGCTGCCTTCTGTTCAAGTTCAACACGGGAGAAGCCCAGGGCCTGGAGCACTATACTCCTGATTTGAGGCCAAGGATGAGGACCTGGGAAAGGCTTTGTCTTCAGTCTCACCAACTTCGCTGTTAGCACAGCTGCGCATACCCAAGGCTCCCAAGATGAGCTTTGTAAAGAGCTCTCTCCCACCCACAAGCCCAGGAAGCACCCTCGCCAGCACCTGGAGACCACCCTCAGAGACGTGTGTGCACTGAGGGTCTGCCTGGGAAGACAGCTGTGCCCTTCAACATTCTGTTGTGAATCTGTGTCACTGCCTCTCCATGGGTGTGACCCCAGTGCTGGGGCAGGACGATTCTCTGCTGTGAGGACTAAGTTTAGCATTCTTGGTTCCCTGCTGACTAAATGCCATGAGGGCCCCCGGGCACTGTGGCTCCCAGTAGTTTCCCTATAATCCTCATCACATCTACTGAAAACCACCAACAAAAGCCATGGACAGGAAGCTTTGAGCATCACAGCCAAGCTTCTGACATTACAAAGATTAGAATGTGTGTGTGTGTGTGTGCATGTGTGTGTATACATGCATGTGTGTGTGTGCGTGTGCATGTGTGTGCGTGCATGCATGTGTGTGTGTGCGTGTGCATGTGTGTGTGTGTTACAGGGATGGGACACAGAGGGAGGACAGGGAAGACTTGGAACAATCCCAATTCTAACACCTGGCTTCTTAGATCACTTTCCAAGCCAAAAAGATTTTTTAAACAAAAACTCGCCAAGCCTCACAACAGTCCTGTGAGGTAGCTAAGTATTATTATACCCATTTTCCAGATGGGAAAAGCTGAGCCGAAAGAGGATGCATGACCCGCCATTAGTCGGCAGCAGGCCCGGGAGTGGGGAGGGTGAGGCTCTTCCCGCTAGGCGATCTGCGAGGCCTCCTCTTGAGAGAGGAAGAGGAGCCCGGGACACGCTGCCCACTAGGTGCTGAGCTAGGAACGGGGAAGACAGCAGTTTTGCGTGAAAGCAGCTATAAGACATTTTCCAAATGGCTGGTGGCTCTGCCCCCAAAGCCAGGGAACTCTGAACCCATGCCTAGAATGGGTTCTGGGTGGAGAAGGGTGAGAGGGACAGAGGCAGATCAGAGTGGGTCCCTGCGAACCCGCTGTGCAGCAACGGTTCTTGGGGGGCACAAGCGTTCTGCAGGGGCTGTTGCCCATCAGTCCCCCTCTCCACCCTGGGGGTGGCTTGCTGCTGACCTTTGGCAGGGAGAGTCCTGAGGCAGGCCCTAGAAGCCCTGGAGAAGCAGGCTGCTCCCCTCCCACTCCTCCCAGGGACCCAGAAGTTCCGTGAGAGCAAGGGAATGGGAGCAGACAAGGTGAGACCCCTGTCACCACGCCACCCCTCACCTCCCCACCCCACTCCACAGGGTAACACCACCACAGCCCCCATTGGGGACCCCCATGGGAGCACAGGGCAGATGGCTCCAAGATCCAGTCACTGGCCAGGGAGCCAGTGGTGACATGATCCACCCTGGTCCCCCGCAGGACCCTGGGTGGAGGTGCGTTGGAGAAGCCTCACCAAAGCCACCCCAAGTTGGCTTTAAGGATGGGAGGGGGACAGCATGCGCAGGGACTAAGGCACAGTCTAGCCCCACACACAAGGGGTGTGCAAACCAGGTCTCGGAAGAGAATCCTGCTCCTCCCCAAGCCTAGGATGGAAGGGGGAGGCGCAGCTGAGCAGGGGGCAGCCAGCACACCCAAGGGCCCCCTCACCCAAAGCAAGATGCCCCCTGTGGAGAAGGAAAGCCCTGAGCTGGGGCTGGAGATGAGCAGCCCTGGGCCAGGGGAGGTGGGGGTGGCAGGGAAGATGGGGACAGGGGCACAGAGGTGCAAGCCAACAGGAGGGAGGGCTGGAAGGTGCAACACCTCAGCGAGAGGATGCCCCTGCCCCTCGGGGAAGCAGGGGTGGGGAGAGCCAAGCTGGGGAATTCCCAGGAGTGGCCGTGGTCCTGCCATGCCCAGGAGAAAGATCGGCCCACTGGCCGAGGGGCCCAGGACACTGGCTCACCCACTCTGCAGCCCTGATTCCCCAAGGAGAAGTGCTGGGAAGGGCATACATGGTGCCCCAGTGTCCAGGCAGTTGTCATGAGTCCCTCAGGAACCCAGAGATCAGGGGAACAGGCTTGGTGCACCAGGACTCCCCAAGCCCAAGATAGCCAGCCTGGGTGGGAGGGTTCCAAGACTCCAAGCAGCAGGGGGAGGGTGGGAAGGGGACAGGGGTGAGGGTCCGAGGCAGACAGGTGCCCTGCAGGGGGGAAAGGGACAGTGCTCACTAGAGGGACGTCGGGGAGCAGGTACCCCTCCAAGCCCCACTGCGGGCCTGCCTCCAGCAGCCTCCCCACCCTCAGCAGTGAGGTCTCCACACTGCTGTCCAGTGGGGTCCCGCTGCAGCGCAGACCCCACTGACCCTCCACGTCTCTCCTGGAGAGAAACCTGGGGGCAAACCCAGGTAGTGCGGGTTCAGGGTGGGGAGCCTGAAGAAGACCTGTGTGCCCAGGTGTTGAGGGACCGGCCCCCACACCACCACCCACCCCCTTTCCCTTCCCAAACCTTCCACAGGCCCCCCCATGGCCAGCCCTCCCCTGGGGGGCTCCGGCTGGGAGGGGTGCGGCAGGCTGGCAGGATCCCCGTTCCCCCCGCACCCAGAAAGACTACAGGTCGGGCCAAGCAGCAGGTGCCTCGGGTGCGCGGAGTCACTGACACGGCTCAAGTTCCGTCCATCCCCGCAGCGCGGTGCTCCGGCTGCCGGGCCGCAAGCTGGCCTCACACTTTCGTCGGGGGCTTCTCCTCCGCCCTGGAGCCGGGCAGCCCGTTCTCCGTGTTGTCATTCCCTGAGGAGCTCACGAGGCACTCTTTCCTGGAGAGGAAGAAAGGAGGGCAGTCTGGCGGGCAGAGAGGGGCGGCGCGGCCGCTGCGGAGGGGAGCCCGGCCCCGCGCCCAGTCCAGGCCTCTCCCTGGCCTCCTGCAGAGCAGAGGTAACTGCAGGGCAAGCCACCTGACCTCTCTGGACCTGTTTCCTCCTCTCCAGATGGACATGACGGTGATACCCTCTTCGTGGGGGCAGCGAGAACAGTGCGTGAGCGCAGAGTGTGCTCAGGGGGACCGGCTGTCGCCTAGTCGGCTCAGCACAGCACAACGTGGGGCACCAGGCAGCACAACGTGGGGCACCAGGCACCGCTCCCGGGGCTCAGAGCCCAGGCGAAGCCAAGCCAGGGTGATTTCCAGGCTGTGATAGCCCGGGGGAAGGGTCGAGGCCTGCAGGCAGTACACCCAGGGCGAGGAGCTCCTCTCCGAGCTCCTGGGACCAGAGGGAGTTGAAAGAGCTCAGGAGAGGCAGAGCCAGCAGAGGGCTTGGCACCAACGACAGCAGGGGGTGGGATGGGCAGAGGCAGCAGGAAGGAGAGATGGTTGGATGGAAGGCGTGCCTCAGGCGCACCACCAGCCCTGACCGGCCTACGCTGGGGGTGCTCCCGTTTAAGCACGTCCCACAGCAGGGCCAGGCTGCCCAGAGCTCTCCATGGCGGGCCCGCTGCCACACCACTCTGAGCGTTCTGCTCATGAAAATCTCCAAGTCTTCTCATGGCAGTTGTTGCTAAACTACCTCTTAGCCTCACTCTGTGTAGCCGGGTTAGAGGCCTTCAGGAAGGACTGAGCATTCTCTTCTCAGCAGTTTCATCTTGCAGGATTTAGCTCAGAGCTCCAGCCTATCAAGATCCTCCTAGATCCCAATTTAGTCACTAGGTTCCTAGAAATCTGATATCATTCTTCATGTAGTTCAAGTACTAATAACAATGAAAAAGCAGAGCCTTGCGGCATACCACTAAAGACCTCTATTGTTCTGTCATCTATCATCTATCTTTATCATCTATCTACCTAAGGTATAGTCGATCCGGCCAGTTCCTAGCTATCTAACTGTACCCTCAAGCAGTCTGTATTTCTTTACAGAGAACCTACTGGGTCCCAGGCACTGTCACGCTAGCTGGAAGGATGTACAGTTTTCAATGGTGCCCACTCAGCTGTCTTTCAGGGGATATGACATCAAACAAGTCACTGCAACACAATGTGGTAAATGAGGGGATGGGGGTATAGCAAGGAGGAACCCCACCTAGGGAGCCTTCTAGGGATCAGGCAAGGCTCTTTAAGAGTGTCATTTAAGCTGAGACTAAGATGAGGAAGAAAAGAGGGAGGAGACATTCCAGAGGATGCAAGTAAAAAATGTTCCAGGCACCCATGAGACCCTTTTCCCCAAAGACCTCTGATCATGCCAGGCCCTGCAAGCCCTCACCAGCTCCCCTGCAGTGAGAGAGAAAGCCAGTCTCAGCCTGGACTCCCAGATCCCCAAGGATCTGTCCTCAACCCCTTTTGCAGGCTTTTTCTCCCTTTCCTCCCCAGCAGGTTCCCCACTCTCTCAACAAACAAAATGCCTTGTTCTCCAGGCACATGTTACTTCCCAGATTCTGCCTCGGCTCTCAGCAGTTCCCCCATCTGGAACACCCTTCTGCTCACCCTCTCCAGGCCTTAAATTTTATCCATCTTGCAAGGCCCATCACGAATGCCCCCTTGGCAAAAAATCCTTCCCTAGTATTCCACCCTCCTCCGAACCCTTCAGCATTCTGTCTACCTCTTTGCTGGCCCTGATCCTTTCTACCTTGTATTGTATGTATTTGTATTGACAGCTTATCTTCTTTACTTAAGAGCAGAATCTTATTCCTTTCGGAACTTCCTATAGCACCAGGCACAGTGCCTTGTACACAATACCTCAAAAATAGCCACCAAATGAAAGAATGAATGAATGAACTGTAGATATACCCCATGAGCCAGTAGGGAATGGTGGCAAGAGGTTAAGCTCTGAAGCCAAATGACCAGGGTTCAGATCCCAGCTCTATCACTTAGCAGCTGTGTGGCCTTGAGCAAGCCACTTAACCACTCTGAGCCCCACTTTGCTTAACCATAAAATAAAAATTATGGACATTATATAAAAATGCCTGGCAGAGAACCTAGCACGTGGCAGGCACTTGATGAATGACAGCAAGCATTATTATCTGCAGCAGTCTCCTGACCTACCTGCCTTGTTTTGATGAACCCGTGGCAATTCCCAAGGACCACTGTTTTCTTTTCTAAGTGCTTCTAAAACCGTATGTTGAATAATTTGCTCCCCAATTCCACTCACCATCAGTAGCAAGATTGGTTATTAATAACAGAATGTGGTCCAACTCCATGTACCCAGCCCCTCTCAACATCTCCAAAACGCTCACAGCTCTGGCCACGATGCAGGGAGACAGCCCAGGAATTCTTTGTCTCAGCCAGCGCCTGAGATGAGAGGCCCAGTGCCTCCTGGCTCCTCATTCCAAGGCAATCCCCTTAATAGTCCTCCTGCCTTCAGCTTCCTTCCCCTCTTACTAGTGCAGTTTCTGCCCTTTCCAGCCTAGTTCCCTCTTCTCAGTAAAGCAGAATCAGAACAGAGCGAACAGGAACAAAGCGATCTCCCCCCTCTGTTGCGCCTCCTGGCTGCTGTCGCCGCCTCTGCTCCAGTGGCAGGCCTGCCTCACCTCTCTCGCTAAGAGCACCACTTCCAAATGCCTTTGCTGTGCCCTGCTTCACCACCCCCACCACCTGCTGCTCTGGAGCCTGACACTGTCCCCGCAATCCTGGGCCTGGGCTTACCCCCTCTGGGTCGGCCCCACCCTCCCCCCTCCCCTGAGCTTACCCTAGGGCTTCCGGGGAGGCCATAGCAGTCTCTTAACCTCCCCCAGCTGAACTTTCAGAATTCTACAATAAAATGCTCCCACCTCCCTAAAAGGGTCTTCCCTTTTTAGAGTTTCTGTACATGGGATTTTATATTTTCTCTTTAAAAAATATTTTAAAAGCTTCCATAAAAGAGAATCCACAACCGTCAAAAAAAATTTTGAATTTAAAAAAGATTTCCTAAATCCCTTGCTATGACTTCAGGTTGGGTGGTACAAATGGAAAGAGAGAAGCTAACGGGATGGGCAGTCAGACAGCGCGATAAGGAAGGGCAAGGGTGTCGTATTTATGTGCCCAGTGAATGCAGTGTAGTCAGCAAGTGCCACTGGGAGGATGGGGAACAGGGAGTGAGACTGAGAGGGGCTGGCAGATGGGGAAGAGGGCTGCAGGGACAGAGGAGAGCGGGAGGACTGGGAAGCCAGGAGACAGCTGGAAGGGTGGAGGCGCATGGCAGCAAGGTGAGACAGCAAGGAGATGCCAGGTGCAGAAGACAGACGCCAGTGGGCAGGCCCACAGGATAAGCGTGAGTGGGGGCCGCGTGGGGGGCAGAAGCGTGCCACGGAGGCAGCTCACTTCTTCTCCTGGGTCTTCTTTATGGTGAAGGCGATGAACTTCTTGACCAGCAGGATGACGATGAGGAGCCCGATGATCCCGCCCACGACAGCCAGGATGATGAGCGTCAAGGTGTTGTCCACTTCCTCCACTGCGTGGCCAGAGCAGGGAGAGAGGAGAGTGGGCGAGGGGAGCAGGAGGCACCGGGCACCCGCACCGTGGCAGCCCCAGGGCTCCCCAGCCTCCCAGCTCAGCAGCTGGGACACGCCCTTCCCAGGCCTTGCAGCAGGAAGCAGGGAAGCTGGACCATGGCCCCCACAAAGAGGGCCCTTCCCCCAAAACACACACACACACACACACACACACACATACACGCAAGCTCTGGGATAATTCACACTCGGGCCCACAGCACCCAGGTTTGTCGAGGCCCCCACAGTGCCCCCTGAGAATTTCCTGGCCTCTTTCTAGGTCTCCTTCAACCATGCAGAAAAATATTAAGACTCTTCCTATAAATCATTAGTATGGCAGGAAGACTTTGGAGTCAAATAGTCTGAATTTTAACTAAAGGATTTCAATGGTCACTAACGAGCTAGTAACCTTGAGCTGGTCACCTAACCCGTCTAGCCTCAGTTTGCTCATCTGAACACTGATTCCTGACTTGCAAAAACTGCTCTACCACAGTTACTCCCGAGTCCATTGGGAAAACCCCATCCTTCCAGTTGCTGTGACCCAAATCCTCAGTGTCACCCTTGACTTCTCTCTTCATCTCAAACCCCATATATCCAATCCACCTGAGAATCCTAATGGCCCAAACTTTAAAAAATTCTAGAAGCTGACATCTTGGTACCGCACTAACCTAAGACATCCCTTCCCTGGATACATGCAGCAGCCTTCTAAGTGGTCTCCTCTCGGTGTCACGGTTGTCAGCAGAGCAGCCAGAGCGATCCCGTTCCTACTCAGAGCCCTGCGGTGGCTCCTGTGTCACTCATGCTTACAGGGACCCCACACAACCTGACTTAATGTGACTCATCTCTTGCTCTGCGCCCTGCTCCAGCCACACTGGCCTTCTTGCTGTGCAAGAATCTGTCTCAGGGCCTTTGTACTTGCCGTGCCTTCTGCCTGGACTATCTTCCCAGACTCCCTCATGGCTTCCTCTCTCGCCTCGTTCAAACATCCTTACTCCATGTCACCTTCCCTCCTGATGCCACTAGCACCCCATCTTTCCTTCCCCGTTTTACTTTTTCTCTGTAACAGTGGCCATGTTCCCTGGCATGGAACTTTCATCCTGATTGCGTGCACTACAGATCTCCCCTGACTGGAAGGAAATCTCCCTGCCGGCAGGAACACGTCTCTCTTGCTCAGCCTGAACCCTCGGCAGCTGGAACAATGTCCCCCGCATAGTAAGTAACATTTGTTGAATAGATGGATGGGTGGATCTGTAAGAACAGAGAGAAGATGCACCCCGAAGGAATGTGTGAGGAGAGAAGGAGTGAAGGTAAATAAGAGTGCCCAACTCAGAGCCTGGCACCCAGGAGGGCTCCATAAATGCTGCTGTCCCCTGCCCCTTCTCCTCCCTCTGGGAAGGCTGAGCACAAAGTGCTACACACAGACTTAACTCAAGTGACCCCAGGAGCAGAATGAGGTGGATGGCCTCCGGTTCTGCCCTTGGCCTGGACACCGAACACTCAGGCACCTCTCTCTCCAGGCAATGCGTGCCATCTAGGGAAGCAGTGAGCCCCCAGGCACACAAGAGACGCAACATAATCAGGACCCTTGAGCCCATTCCCTTCCGTTTTTTTCTGTGCTTCTGCGCCTCCCTAGCCTTCCAGGACCCCCATTCACGAGGCCCAGCCTAACTCCCCCAGACCCTTCTCGAGCCACCGCCAGTGTCTGGGCTCACGTGATCACCTCACTACTCATCACCTGCTTCTTCGCTGTCTCATCAGTCCGGCTGGACTCCGCAGCCGGGATCTGTGCTCGGGAGGGGACAGCCCATTCTTCCCAGTCTCTGCTACCCGAGCTGCCACGTGCTCCGCCCCAGCTTCAGTTTCCCCATCTCCTGTCTTGCCCTGAACCATAATTCCTCAAGAAAGAGCCCTTGTATCATCAACAGCACTTTTTGGTTCAATACCTGGCATTCAGTCAACTGTTGCTGACAGAACACACAAGAGAGCTTCTCCCATCACAAAACACCCCCGTGTCGTGCCTGCAACCCTCAGGACCACCCTGGCAGGAGGCCGATCATACAGACGAGGAAACAAGACCCAGGCTAAGTGCATATCACCAGCTGCTCAGTGGCAGAATAAGCCTTCAAGCTAAATTATTTGAGCTTCCAGGAACTCTTGCAAGTATGAAGCACAAGGACACAGCAACGTGGCCCGTGTAACCATGTCCCTGTAGCACTGAGCTGGGGGCCCCCAGTCCTTCCCACTCCACTGCCCGGTCCCAGCCCCCACTGCATACATTTATCTACAACTCGGAGTAAGATAGTGGCCTGGTGCTGAAGATTATTCTCCTTGGGGTTCTTCACGTGACAGGTGTATTTGCCCATGTCACTGAAATCCACGTTCCTGAGCAGGATAGAAATGTTGTTCATCTTGTCCTTCGTAGTGCCCTCCAGAGTGATGCGGTCATCGTCTTTGAACTTCACCTTGGGGTCAGTCTTCTCATTCTTCACAGTCCCGTCTATGAGCTGTGGGGGAAAACAGGGGGGTTGGAGGTGGCTGAGAAAGAGGCAGGGTCCTCAAGAGCCATGACGTCACTCCAGCCCACTGCCTGGATGGCTTCCCTGTCCAGGTCCAGGAAGAGCCTGTGACTCCAGGCGCTCCCTCCCCTTTTCCTTCCCGTCTGGATCGCTCTGCCTGTCTAACTTGAATTGTGCTTGCTGCAGGCTAAACCCATTTTCTGTTATTAAGGTCCCGCTGGAATACAGCTCTTATGGCTTTCTTGTAACAGCCTTTTACATAATGACTCCTGCAAATACCACACTCATTCCCCTCTGTCACCCCCACCTCCCCCACCCCACCCAAGCCTTTGCTGATGCTGTTGTCCCAGGTCCATCTGAATTCTTGCCCTCCTTCAAGACCAGGACCAATCCTACCATGGTAGCCATCAGCACCCTCTGCGTTCAGCACTTGATTATATCCGGAGTTGGTCTCCTGGGACTTCCCTGTGTATGTCTCGGGTCCTCTGTGGACTGCAGAGTAGGTATGCAATAAACACCTGCCGACTGGCCCTCCCCACGGGGCCCGCAGCCCTTTCGGCCTCCTGCAAAGTTCGCCCTCTTCTCTGGCTTCCCCTCCCTTCTTCCCAGGTCTGCGTCCCCAGCCCTTCTCCCACCTGGACTGTTCTCATTCCCCCTCTCCGAGCCTTCCAAGGGTCTTTCTATCTCCTGTTTTTTAAAATTAAATAATTTCTACACAAGCAACCCAAGTTTCAGGTATTTCTTCAGCCCAGACAGACACTAGCCAAGAATTCCAACAGGCCCCAAATTCTGGCAACACGATCGCAGCATCCCTTCTGCTTAGATCCTTCTAGACAGGCTTTGGAAAGAATACTGGGAGACAGGGTGGCAAAAGGTGGGTACTTGAGCGCATCAGAGTGGGGCTGGCCCAGAGGGGACCAGAGCCGGGAATGGAGGACAGGGGTGAGGCGGCAGGGAGGGCAGGAGGGGCTGCAATGTCCTGTCCATTCCCCCACTACTTACAATCTTGAAAGTGTCACTGCTGTTGTAGGACCATGAGAATTGGAGGTCGTAGAAGCCAAAACAGCTGGAGAAGGTGCAGGGCAGCAGGATCTCCGAGCCGTTCACAGCATAGATGGTGGTGGCCTTTCCCACAGACACCTCCAGTGACAGGGACGCAGGCAGCAGGAAGAGACCTGTGTAAGGGGCACCACCTCCCTTAATGAACCCCCCCCACCCCACACACACACACACCTCCAGGCCACAGCTCTGGAAGGGGACTCTCAGGCAAGGTGGACTGGCTTGGCCAGGCAGGGCGGTCTCCGTCACCCTCAGTGTCAATTTCGGGAGGATGGCTCTCTTCACTTGCATTGATACTGACCAGGGCCACTGGCCAGTGTTCATTTCTCCCTCCTGGCCTGGGCGGAGCTGAATTCTGGGCTTCAGCAGCCTTTGTGGCACTCCGACTAACCACCAGGGGTCACCCCAACCCAACACCACCTTGCAGCGAAGCTCTTGCAGCGAAGCAGCCTAGGCGCGCCACCTACCCGGCCGCGGTTCCCGAAAGTGCCGCCCTGCACCCCGCCTCGAGCAGGATGGGCTCCTAACGAGGTTTCCCCTGGGAACGTGCGCGGGGCCCTCGTAAGGTTTTCTGGAAATTTATTGTTTGGGGGCGGGGTCCCGTGACGTGAAGAAGGGAAAGTCTGCAAACGCGGTCCCCGGACACTGCCCGGCGGCCAGTCGCCAGCGAGCCCTGGGACTCCCGCCGGCCCCGAGGGGCGCAGAGACAGAGGGTCTGCGTTTGGCCGCTGGGGCCCAAAGCCCTACGGCACCGACCGGGATCCTGAGAGCAGAAGGGAGACGGAAGCGGCTGGAATGGCAGGGCGTGGGGCGCGCTCGGCACTGGGCAGCCGCCAGGGCGGAGGGGGTCCGGCGATAAAGGCAGAGAAAGTGAGAGGGCGCAAGACAGCGGAGCGGAGGCGGGACGGCCCGAGTGCGCACGGGGTGCCGCGGGGAGGGCGCTGGACCCGCGGTCCCCTCCCCACCCAGAGCGGCCCGTGCTGCCCCCCACGCCCCGCGGCCCCACCCGGCTCCCAGTCCTGGAGCCACCGTCCCTTGGGGGCCCGCCCCCGCCTCCTCCACACGCCCTCGCACGCGCCCCCGGAACGTCACCACCACCAGTCGGCCTGAGCACGTGGACCCCGGGAGTTTCCACTCGCAGCCTCCGGAGGGCGGCTTCCAAGGGCACCTGGCCCTCGTCCTGTCCTACAGAGTCCTTGGAGAAACCCCGGGGTACCTCAGGGTCGCGGGGAGGCCGGCGCACAGTAAGAGACCTAGCTCGTCGTGTCCCTAGGAGAACCGGGCACCAGGGTCACCCTGGGTGAGGACTCAGAGGCCACCCTTCTCAGGTTCCCAGTAAGGACCCTGCCCCGGACCTGAATCCCTGCCTAGTGCTGCAAGCGGCTGATTGCATTTCATTCTCACCTCTTACCCGCCAAGGGAAGGGTATTATTAATCACACGTAGCAGCTGGTCCCAGAAGGACAAGGAGCCTTGTCCAGCATTGTACAACGTCCCCACGGAGCTGAAGTCCCCCCACGGGGCTGACTCAAGGGCTAGTGGGCAGTTGACAGCAGCCGTCCGGCAGCACTGGCTTCTGGATGGGTTTCCCTGATATTACTTCCGAGACTGCAGCTTCTCGCAGCCACTCAGGCCTCCAGCCTGGCGCACCCGGGACGCCAGAGCTACGGGACGCAGACTGATCCATTAGGGCCACTGCCTCATTTTAGAGACAAGTTGACCCAGCCCCCACATGGGAGGTCACTCGGATGAGCTGACTGGGGTTAGTGGCTGGGCAGACTGAGAACCCCTCTCTGCCCAGGTCAGCTCCCAGCTCTGCAGAAAATTCCCAGAACTGGTCTTGTTCCCAAGACAGCCAGGGCCAGTCTGTTTTAAAGGTCGCCAACCTCACACGCTCTCCCGTCCTCTTAAGGAAGGCCTCTTTTGCCTAACCTGAGGCCCCCATGGTGTCTTGCAAACCAGTTTCCTTTTGTTTCTGCCCTCACGAGAAAATGATGTCTGGTGCCACCTGCGTAATGCTTTTTAAATGACAGAGAAGGAGCTCCAAGGGGAGCCAGAGGCCCCAGGCTGCCCTCAGCTTCTTCACATCCCCTTAGCTTCCGATGGCCAAGTGGGGTGCTCTCACCTCAAAGGTCAGAAATAAACCCCGTGGTCCAGTAGCCATCATGACCCTGCCACTGTCAGTAATAGGTGATATTTATTGAGCATTCACTATGCGTCAGGCCCATCTTATGAGTGACGTGCTATCACAGCTGCATATTTTATACAAGACAACCACATGGAGAAGTTAGGTGACTTGTCTAAGGCCAACAGGAGACCTTTCTAGCACCAAAGCCCCAAAGCAAGAAAATCCTTCCTTACATCCTCACATAGTGGGGTTTGCCACCAGGGTTCCAAGTGATGCGAAATGGTCTCCATCAGCCCTCATTCTTTGATCAGCCCCTGCGTTCCAGGCATTGGTCTAGGGCAGAGGCTTTCGAATTTGAGCCAGAGCTCAGCCTCGCCTCTGGAGTCTCTGATTCAGTAGATAAAGAGAGGAGGCTGAGATTTTGCATTTCTAAAATGTTCCCAGAGAACACTGTGGTCAGGGATGACATTCTGAGAATCACTGTGCTGGAAGATTTATATATATTAACACCAATTTTCACTGAAATGTCGAAAGGCAGGTGCCATAGTAAATGGTGAATCTGGGACTGAGCATGTCCTATAAGACAGGACAGGCATTTTATAGATACTGTCTCATTTAATCCCCATAACAATCCCGTGGAGTAGTCATTATTTCTATCCCCAATATACAAAATGAATAAACAGGCTCAGAGAGATGAACTTGCTCAAGGTCGCTGACCAGCAGGTTGGAATAAGCAGTATTCACACTGTGGGGACCCGCTCTCCTGCGCGCTCCGCGTCTTCTTTTTACCTCTGCCCCACCCCACCTGCCCCCACAGACCATCACCAGAAGTCTGGGGACAGGAGCCAGGCCCAAGATCCACCCTCCAGCCTAGAAGATGGCCTTGCAGTGGAGGACCCCAGCTCGGCTTCTGAACCCCTCCTCCCTCCCCCCAGTGCCCCCACAAGCCAAGGAATGGAGTGTGGAGCACGGAGCTGTGACAGGAAAGCTCTCCGAAGGCAGCTTCCTGATAACTACGGGCCTCCCTCAGGAGTGCCACAGCTCGAGGCTCCAGTGCTCGCTGGCAGCCCTGCCCAGGAACCGGGATCCTGGGGAAGATGGAGAACGCAAGTCAGGGGTCAGATCACCTCCCGAACTCCAGCCAGAATGAGATATCCAAGAGCACCAAAGAAAACGTATCAAAAGTGAAACGTCTTTGGCTGCTTTAAATAGATAGAAGCAAAAAAGAGCAAAAGCAGAGTCCAGAATAGAGGAGAAAACCACTTCTTTGAGGTCTGGCTCATGACAGTGCACATTTCTGCCTGACTGGTGCGCGCCTATGTGGCTGACTTAACTCTAATACACTCAGGAAGCCCAGACTCCCAGAAGGGGGCACCGCCATTCCCGCCACAGCCTGGGGGGCACAGGGAAGGCAGAGATGTTTCCACGACGTCCAGAGCCCTGCGTAGTTAAGGCACCAGAGAGGGCGGACCAGGCGGGCCTCTGCGCTGTATGCCCGCCCAGCAGTCAGGAAGTCTTGCCAGCTCTGTCTGGGAGCTTAGGCACGGGAGGGCCCAGGGGCCTGCGTCCTGTCATCTCACCTGTGAGGCTGTGCTAGGGGGCGCGGAGGGAGCACGGGCAGGTGATGATCCACTAGAAGCCCCCAGGAGGGTGCTTCAGCAGGACGACCAAGCCAGGAGCAGAACGGCCAGCAGATGCAAGGCAGGCCCCACTCTGCCTACTGCCCTTGAGAAAATCAGAGATGCCACACCTGGTACGCACATCCCCAACCCACGGATGGGTGTCTTGCCTACCTCCTGAACTGGCGTAAAGCCAAAATGTGAGCTTAAAAAACACAAGAAGGGCTTCAGTGAGTCCATCCTCTGACCTAAGCAACCTGCAGGTAGAGGAGGTTAGTGTTTGGAAGGGGGCAGGGAGCATAGCTGCCCCATCACAGGTCTGCATGTAACCGGGGCACCCCTAGCTTAATGACCAGTGTCAGCCAAGACTGTCGCCAGGCCTCCACACAGTTTTTTCCTTACACCCTGCACCACCTCTTAGAGGTAATTTTTTCCATATGGCTATTTCCCTGGAGTAAAGTGCTTTGTTCTAAACGTAATTCTTCAGAATTTCAAGGTGCGTGTATGTGCATTTGGGATTGGGAGTCTCTTTCTGGATGGATGGATGACCCCAGCTATTCATGTGGTATCCAGTCCTAGACCCCAAAGCTTTGCCTTGGCTTACTAAAGGGCCCCAACCGTTTAGCCACTCCCAGAGGAACCAGTGCCTTCACTATCCTCTGAAGGCTTCAGCCTCCCTCCTCCCATCCTTATCTGGTGCCATGGGTTTTATCTAAGGATTGACTCAGGACTCCCAAGTTTTATTAAAGTGAAAAGGTATTGGGTACATGCAAATGTTACCATTAAATATTCGCACCCGAAGGATTCTTTTGGCTCCCATCAGACATTCCAAGGCAAATGCCAAGGCAGGACACAGCTGCCACCTGCTCTGCTACTTTCTCCCACCTTCAAGGATCAGTCACACCCACCCCAGTGTGGAGGAAGGAAAGAGGGGCAGGGTAGTGCCTCTCTAAGTTTAGCTTGCCTGGCATGGCAGGCGGAAACACGGCTGACTTTAATAAGGAAGCTGATACACTCAGCCCAAGCAGAGTCAGAAAGGTTCAAAGTTAGAGCTGCGAGGCAGAAAGTGGGCCCCAAGGCCAGCGGGACAAGACCCCCTCCTGGGGTGCAGGCCCTGGGGGCTGTGGGAGGCAGGGCTGGGCCAGGCAAGGCCCCTGGGCCCAGAGACAAAGGGAAGATTTCAGCTCCCTCTCCCTAGGCAACCTGCCTGCTTCCTGCCCACTCCCAGGAGCTCTGCTGGGATAGAACATGCTCCTGAGACAGCACTGGATACTCGACAAAAGCAGCTTTACAAACAAGTCCAAGTGCCATGAGCCTGTCCGTCCTCGTGCAGGCCACAGCATGGGCGTGCATGGCCAGCCTAGGGCTAACACCGATCCCTACACCCCCAGCAACTGGGAGGGAGGATCTGTGCCCAGGGTCTGCCTACCCTGCCGATTCCACCAGGAGACAGCCAGTCATAAGGCCCTCAGGGCACCCCACAGGCCTGCATCTCCAGAGAAAGAATCACTGTTTACAGAGGCGAACCTGGGGGGTCCCTCCACTCCTCCCCTTTGCCATCTTTCTTCCTCTCCACAACTTCTTACTCAGCCTTCCCTTCCCCTCCTCTGAGTGGGACTGAGCACCCTCTCCTTAATTGTGTTCTCATTAAACAAGCCCTTAATAAATACATACCAAGGGAAAGAGGGTTGTGCAACATAGCACCCTCACAAGTGATAATTACACACAGATCACAGCAATTAAGCAAATCAGGGAACAACGAAGGGGTGGGCAGGACAGATATATTACCAGTTACATGCTTAGGAAGGGACTGGCACCCTCATAAACCTCAATAGCAATATACAACTTTGCAGGAACTTTGGAAAACATAGCACAGAGCTCCTCTAAGGATGAGGAAACCACAGTGTATAGGATATTCATAGACCTGAATCTTCTATGGGGAACCCTCAATTTAAGAAAAGGGTATCTTGTCAGGTTACCAAAAATCTTGAGTCTCAGCCTGTGAGTTGACCTGGATATGGGGAGAGGGGGCAGGAGGGGTAGAGGACTCCTGGGAACTTGCTGCTCTGGACCTGCTCTGCACAGTTGAGAGAATGACAGTTCTGGGTCCCCCAGGCCTCTGTACTTTCAAGGCCATGCTGCAGAGCCTTCTTCAGCCCATCAGCACAATCCCTGCTGACCTTCGCCTCCTCAGACTTCAGTTCACCAGGAGGCAGGTTGGTGTGACAGAGCCTGCGAGACCTGGACTCAGTCCTACTTGACCATCAACTGGCTGTGCACCATTGGGCAAGTAACTTGCCCTCTCTGTACACTGTGGTTTCCTCATCCTTAGAGGAGCTCTGTGCTATGTTTTAAAAAGTTCCTGCTAGCTCTGATGCGTCCAGGGAGCATCTCCAGTTAGCTGGCCGGTGGACCCTGCATCTCCCCTCCTGGACTGACAGCAAGGATGGCATCTGTGTCCCAGGCTCAGAGCAATGCCACTCTGAGGCATCAGCAATGGCTGCCTGGGCAAGGTCCAACTGAGGACCCCAGTGGTGCCCCCTCTGCACCAGAGGCGCATGCAGCACAGAGCGGGGGTTTGGGGAGGGGCGCAGTGCTGGGGCCTGCTGGTCTCCCGCCTGCAAGTCACCCTGTTCTCCCCTGGGGCTCCCAGAGGGTGGCTCAGGGATTCCTCCACACCTGCTACAGTGGGTCCCTGCTCTCACCTGGTCTACCCAGCCGAAGAGTCCTTGGAGGAGGTGGGGAATCCACCTGGAGAAAAGTACCAAGACTCTGCCCACAGCCCCCCCGACACACACACATAGGCGTGCTGTCTAGTGTGGTTCCCCACGGAAGATTTAGGTCTGTGAATATTCTAACAGCCCAGCTACTGGCGTCCTAACCCCCAGCCAGGCAGCAGGAGGAAGGGAAGCCAGAGGTGTTGATAAGCAGGCGACTTTAATGACTGTATGAGTTTGAATTCCTCAGTGACCCCTTATCCCTGCTATGGTCACAGTGGAAATCTGGGCTGAGCCGAGGTGGGAAGGGGGAGTGCTTATGTGGAATGGCACTGTGCCCACGCCATGAAGAGGGGCCTCAAGCCTCACAGAGGCCCGCTTCCTTAGGCCCACTGGGAACCCAGCGTACATCTGTGCAGAAGGCCTAAGAGCAAACACCAGTTCTTCTATCCAGCTGTAGGGGTGTAAACCAGGGGCTCCTGAGTGAAAGAAAAAGTCCATCCCCCCTCCACCACCAGGTGCCAACATGACAGGTCTGCATACACTTCACATTTGCAGAAACAGCAGCGACGGCCCTTAAAGGCTTCTGTCTCCGTTTTCAGTACAAATGCCTACATAGTGTGCCCAGCCCGATGGGGGAAGCTGCCAAAAGCCAAATCTGACAATATAAACAGGAAGAGGTGCAGGTGCCAGAGATGGAGTCGGCTTACATTGAAATCCGGCTGTGATTTATAAGGTTACATTCTGGACTAACAAATACCATTCTCTAATCTCTCAGAGTTTGACACTCAAAACTGTCATGTTCTTATTAATAGACATTAATGCTGTGTTCCTTCTGTGTCCCCTGGATGTGTCTCCTCAGTCTTCACATTCATCCCCAAAATGAAGAGCCAGAAGCAGGTTAAACAGGTCCTCCCTATGGAATCTTTGCAGGAAGATCCTTCCTCAATGGGGGCTTGAATGACCCTCCAAGTCCCTTCACCCCCTTCCAGTCTTTAGGAGCTGCCGGGAAGGCAGTGGGCACCAGAGGAGGTAGAGGGCAGAGCAGACAAACGGAAAGAGGGCCAGGAGGAAGGGAGGGCCCTCCTCCCTCCTCCACCCCCGCCGATTGGTGCATGCCTGATGCCTGGGCAACAAGCATCCGAATTGCAAGCAGCTGGGGGCAGGCGTAGAAACCACATGCACGTGCAGCCCACCTGGCAACCCCGACCCCCAGGGCACAGACACCCTCTGCCAGCACGCCTAAACCTCTGAACTTGGGAGGCCCTCTCTGCAGCCCCAAGACCCAGCTCCAGAAGCCTGGGGCTGAAGGCGCCAGGGACAGCAAAGAACTAATCGTCAGGCTGGGGGGCCAGAGGGGCGAGGGACGCACGGTCCCCAGGGAGCACAGCAGTCCGGGCCGGGTGTCCGGCAAGAAGCCCGTGGCAGCGGTGCTCACTCGGCGCTGCACTGCAAAGCCCACCTGATCCGATGCACTGCTCCTCCAAGTATCCCCTTCTCTGGGGGACAGAGGGGGAAAGAGTCAGGGGAAGAGACCAAGCTGGGGCTGCCTTACCCAGAAGCCCAGTGCCCAGCCATCTCGCCCGGACAGCGCCTCGGTCCCCAGCCCCGGGCATCGTTCCGTTCTCTCCGCAGCGCGCCGGGGGCGCGGGGATGGGATGCAGGGTACAGCCGCGCCCGCGGCCCGCGGCGTGCAGTGGGCCCCGAAGCTGCCGGGCAGCTCTGCGCCGCGGGTCGGGGCTCGGGAAAGTTAGCGGGCAGAGAGCGGGGGGCGGGGGGAGAGGAGGAGCCGCGGCAGGAGCGGCGGCCGAGGGCCCGGGAGGGAGGGAGGAGCGCCCCGAGAAGGCGGGACGCAGGGGCGGGAGGACCGCCGGGCGGGCGCACAGGCGAGTGGCGCTGCGCCTCTGCTCTGGAAGCGCTCCAGCCGCAGGAGGGGCGGTGGCCCCGGCGGAGCCCGGGGCGCCCCCGCCCGCTGCGCACCCAGCCCGGCGCGCCCCGCCTCGTGGTCCGGGCGCCCCGGGAGCAGGCCGGGACCCCATTCTCTCTCTGCAGCTCGGACTGGACTGCTGCGGCTTGGCTCTGCAGGGCCGCCCGCAGCCGCCCGCACCTTCCCAGGCGCTGAGATGCCAATTAGGAGATAGTTTCGGGGGAGCAGAGGTGGAGCTTTTCGGGTGTTGGGAGGCTGAATTGCTGTGCTTTAGGAATGGGGGTACAGTAGCGGCTTCCTCTCCCCGGGCCGCGGAGGGACCGCTGGAACGTCCGCAGCCGGCGCTGCGGCAGCGGATGGGCGCGGGCGGGCCTGACCCTGCAGCCGGCGGCCCCCGCGCCTGCAGCCTGGGAGCCCCACGCCTGCCGCCTACGGCGCCCGCTGGGCAGGGCTCCGGGAAGAGAGCTTCAGATTGCAAGCTGCCCCCGCCCACCGCCCACCCACCCCTTGCATTTCTCCAGAGACTCCTGGGAAATCATGATGCTCCTGGTTAGGGGATCAGGGCCAGACACTTCACCCTCCCGCGGCACCCCTACTTCTCATTTGCCCCACCTAGGCCTCCCCTCAGACTCTGCCCCCCCACCCTCCTCCAAGAGCCTCCCGCCTCCCTCGGAAGCGGAGGAGAGGCCCTCCCCTGCCCTTTGGGGTGCGGGTGGAGAAGCCCAGGGCAGCCTCTGCCTGGAGGATCACAGCCAGGTCAGAGGGCTGAGGAGAGACCGCTAGCAGGCAAGCCTTTCCCCGGACAGTCTCGAATTAAAAGTGAGCAGGGCTATGTGGGTGGCTTGGTAAGTAAAGTCTGATGTCCTCAGCACCCGTTCCCAACCATCCAAGGCCTCCCCTCCCCCACAGATCTTGTCTGCATCCCGACCCTTCATTCCGGGTCTGTCTGGAGACTAGTTCAGACTTGGAAACCTGCTCCTACTTCATGGCCTGACCCCCACTACAGCCCCAGCAACGGCCTCCCACCACCCACGTTTTTTACTTGGGGTCTTGGGCTTCGAGAGGTCATGGACCCCTGAGGTTGTATGGGAACTGCTGAATGTCTGCTTTTCTCCGGGGGAGAGGGTCACTGCCGTCCGCAGTATGGCTGTGCCCCTGGCCCAGTGGCTCTCCAGTTAAATGCTAGGGAGTAAACTCCCAGTTCCAGCATTTATTGCTACATGACCTTGAGCAAGTTATGTGATCATCGGCAGAAGCCTCACCTGTCATATAGTGAAAGCAATATTTACCTCATGGGATTGTTCAAAGCCACGGCACCCTTACACCTGGGTGACAGAGGCCTCTGCCCTGGACGCCTGAGTTCAGAAGGTCCCACTCTGGCCCTCCTCTGGCCTCACTGGGAAAGGCGGTTCGTGGGACAAGAGGGAGGGTGGGCCATGCACCTCCTCTTCTAGATCATGCCCTGGATTTCTGGAACCCTGAAATTCCCTGCTTAAATGTCAGTACCCTGAGCAAGCCCCTTCCCCAGGTCCATCCTCTCAGGAGCTGCCAGATGTGTCCCCACAGGCCCCGGGGAGTGGACAAGGGACAGCCGGTTACAGGGGATGGGGGAGAGGGCTGGAACTTGACGTGCAGGTGGCACATTCTCGGGCACTGGTGAAGGCCCCACCCCTACAGGACCAGAGGAGGCCAGGGAATGCTTTTGGACCTGGTCTTAAAATTAAGGCCAAGGAAAAATTAATCAAGTCAGAGGCTAGTAAGTAATTTTAACACTTTGTTATCTTGATGTATAACTTATGCAGACAAATACATCATTTCCATTTGTACACTTACCCCAGGCCTTGGAGCTGACTGAATGAGCTGTCACTGCGTGTAAAATTGCTTAGCAGAGTGCTAGGCACAGGGCAAGCACCCATTTCAGCTCTTATTATTTGCAAAGAAGTCTGTGGCCCAAAAGGCGAAGCCTCTTACAGTCTCTAGGTTTGCACCCTCACCCACTCCTTCGCCAGGCGGTCCCAGGCATTAGACCCACAGGACCAGGCATCCATGCTGCCCATTTTATTTTTACAGCAGGGGTCATGTTTCTAGAACAGGAGGCTGAGGTGAAACAGGAAGTGAGCCAAAGGGAAGGAAAGTGACCCCTGCCCAGAGAGGAGGGAGGGAGGGAGGGGGACAGAGCTCCCTGGATATCTTTAGATCCCAGCGACAGGAAGAGGTGCCAGTTGCCCCCGTGCCCTCCACCTTCCCTCTGCCTCGCTGCTCACCAATTCTTAGAGCCTGAAGGGTCCTTTGGAAACCCACATGTGTACCTCACAAAAGAAACAGGCCCAGGGGTAGAAGGTGTGGCCCAAAGTCACAGAGAAAGTGACCCCTAAGTCAGGATTCGAACCTCCCCCACGTTTTGGTTCCCTCCCTGGACAGCCCAGCATTTCTCTGAAGAACATTAGGAGGCCCCGCAGCCCCGGGCAAAGTGCTTGACAAATGCATTAGTGGCTAGAAGGGTTTTAGTTATAGGGCACTTTCCTCAAAAAGTCTTAAAACTCTAGACCATTAATCTAGCGTGGAGGAGCCTCCGGAGCATGCCAGGGGAGGGGCAAGAAGAGGTCAGAAGTCCTTCTCTCCGCCTTTTGAAAACGACCTCTTTGAGGAGCCCTCCCTCATTTAGACCCCTTCACCAGCTCAGGAGCCCCCAGCCAATGGGTGGGGAGGGGAGGAAATGGGCAGGCGCCTGGGCTCACCTCCCTCCTTTGGCTGGCCGTCCCTTGAGGGTGGGGACGGGGCTTGGACACAGCCCCCCACTGCACCTGACAGCCTTGATTCTTGGTGACAGGGGAATGCACATCAGGCCTCCGGAGACCTGGTTCACAAGCACCTTAGGAGCGAGTTCTCAGGGATGCAGAGAGGGGTTGGCCCAGCGCCATGGTGCTTTTTGGTCTCAGGCAGGAGGAGAAGGAGCCTAGATTTAAGGGGGAGGAGACTGTTTCCTTGTGGGGTTCATACAGGTTATTTGAAGCAGTTCATCCAACAGTCCTTTCTGGGACCAGGCGACCCCCTCTGTTCCTGCCCTCCAGGGAGCCGGACCGGAAGCAGGAGGGGAGGCAGCCTGGAGGAGCAGTGCGTGGTGGGGGAAGCACGCAGCGGTCAAGGGGCTGAGCTCAGCTCCTGCCCCCATCAGGGAAATGCTCTTACAGGGGAAGGCACTCACCCCTGGGGGCAGTCCCGCTTCTCCCAGAGTGGCTGGATGGAGGGCTCCATTTCGTCAGCTCCCAGAAAGTCAGCCAAGACCCCCCCGCAGGGGAGGATGGGGAAGGGAGGGCTCCAGTGAGGTCTGCAGAGCTATTTCGGGAGGAGTTTGCCCTGAGTGACAAGAGCCTGGCAGGGAGCCTCCACCCCTGGCTCCCCCACGCGGCCATCGCCCTCTCCCGCTGCTCCCATGGCCCTTGCTGCTCTGGTCAGGGCATCACAGGTATCGAGAGATCACCGGGCAGCACTGACTCGTCTGGCCTGGGCTGGTGGAGGCAGGGAGCCCCCCAGCACCCCACCTCCCAGCTCCTCATCAACCCCGGGCACTGCTTCCGCTCTCCACCTTCCTGGAGCTGCCATCAGTTACAAGCAGGGCCCCGATCTCAGGATGGGGAACTGCACGCACCAAGATCTTCTGCGTGTATCAACTTAAAGTTAAACGCTCCCAAATCCCTCAGCCTCTCTGGCTGGCGTCGGGTACTGGGCAGCTGGACAAACTTTGGGGAGCCTATTTCTAGTGCACGTAGGTCTGCTCCCTGCACACCCACACCTGCTGCCATCCTTCCCTCCTGCCCAGGGTGCCCACTCGCCCCCAGCCACAGTCTCAGCATCCCCTGAAGTCTGGCAGGTGCTGAGGGGGTTAACAGGACGTCCTGCACCAAGCCACCCACAGGCTTGCGGCTTAGCGGCCCAGCAAGGACCCAGCGCTGGCCACCTTGCCCACTGCCCCCAGCCCACCTCCCATCAGGGAGCTGGGGTAAAGAAAACCCCTTCCATAACCCTCCTCACCCATCTGCCCTTTCTAAGGGCTCTGGGCACAGCAGGTAGACAGCCACCTCCTCCATCCCTCCCTTCCTCTCTTTCTGTTTGTTGCCAGGTTTTGCCCAAACATCCTTTCAGGCAAAGAGGGGTGGGGAACCCCAGACAGATGAGCTCACTGGAAGGAGGAGGGCAGAGGAGGGAGGAAGCTGAAGTATCCCGGTGAGGGAGGTGCTCACCGGACAGTCCCACGCTGGAGAGGGCATGTACCCACTTCCAGGAGCAGGTGCCTTCCCTCACTGCAGCTCAGAGACAGGGTGAGTCCCAGGCATCTTTTCCTTCTGGGTCGCGTTGGAGTAGAGTGTGAAGCCCCAGGGCAGGGCCTCAGCCACCCTCCCAGCATCCCGGAGCTGTGTTTATCTCTGCTTCGGGGGGGATCGCCATGCCCCACTGCCCTGCCATCAAGGGAGAATGGAGGCTCAGGAGGGCTGGGGGCTGCAGGCATTGGGAGAGTTTGTCATTCACTGCAGCCTGGTTGCCCCTGGGACTGCTGAATGGCCAGACGTCCTCCTGGAACCCTAGATCTGGTCCTGCCGCTGAACTGGGCATTGAGACAGAAAGACCAAACCATGCGTGTAAAAAGTGTGCAGAGTGCCAGGCCTGAATGCTCCCACCCCGGCCCCTGTGAATCTTTCCAACTGGGAGCAGTGAGTCTTGCAAAGTGCGGGGTGAGGGGGGATGTGAAATAGGAGAGATGTGGCCAGGGAAGAAGGTGGGGAGAGATGGAGAGGCCCAGAGAAGGCGGAAGCAGGGGAGTGGAGGGGAGTCTCCCTGGATGA